AGCTCTTCTGCTGCTGCCTCTGGCACCTCCTTTCCTGCAAAGAAGCGTCCCATTGACCTTGACCCGATGGTGAACATGGTCTTCCAAACTTCTGGCGATGAATTCCATGAGATTGAGGAGACCTACATGCAAGGCGAATCTGTGGTGCGTGTTGGTGGATGGGTGACAAAGGAGCCCGACATGTGCATCCAAGACCAAGGAGCCTCATCATTCCTTGCTGGCAGTAAATACATCTTGCGATATCTGAAATAATTGGAAGTTCAGGGATACCCCATGAAAACCATCTCCTTCAAGAAGTGCAACAAATCTTTTCGTTTTGGTGGTGATGCCGATGGACATGCCCGCTGGATGGTTGAGTTGCCCGTGCACTTCGCCAACATTTCAGGTCGAATGCAGTACTTCATCGTGTTCGGAGCCACCCCAATCTTGCTTGGACGCCCAGTTCTTGAACAACTTGGTGCTGTAGTGGATTTTGGAAGTGGCAAGATGCGCATCCTTGGTGGCCGATGGACCGAGATCGAACGTGGCAAGCAAGATGCGATGCATCTACGACTTGCTGCAACCTTCAACTCCATCGAGGACTTCGAGAACCCGCAGTTCGACCTCAGAGCCAAGGATGATGACCACGATGATGCATGCTCTCTGCAAGATTTTCTTCAAGATCTACGTGCTGCCGAGCGCTATGAGGAAATAATCTCCGAGGTCCAATTCACCGACGACGCCTCTGAAAATGAGTTCGTTGATGTTGAGACCTATGTGAATGTGGATGAGCAGATCCCTGAGGAGCACTTTCATGCCCATGAGCTGACCGAACGCACTCAATGCTCAATGTCGAAGACCTGGTCATGGATTCAGGGTCAATTGGTTGAAACCTCCAAGAAAGCAGCCCAATTTGCCTATGAAGGTCGATGCCAACCTCACCCACGAAAGAAGCTCATTTGGGAAGTCTACAGTGGCACTGGACTTTTAGGCGAACAAGCTGAACGCCTTGGTGCCGATGTGATGCGTTTTGGACTCAACAATGGATGGGACTTCTCCAAATTAGCACATCGAAAACGTTTGATGGAATTGGCTTATGAGCTTGAGCCGGATGAAATCTACATGTCTCCCAAGTGCACACTTTGGTCTCCCATGCAGGCCATCAACATGCGTTGTGAAACTGATTGGCACGAACTTTGGGAGCGTCGTGACTTCGACCATGAGATCCATCTGAAGTTTTGCAAGAAACTGTACTGGTTTCAGGTGAAACGTGGAGCTCATGCACACATTGAACATCCACACCGCAGTGCTACCTGGGAAACACCAGCCTTTGCCAAATTTCCAGGTAAACGCACAACTTTTGATCAATATGAATATGGCTCCACTACCACAGTTAATGATGATGAAGTACCGATCATGAAAACCACCTCCATTCAGACCACAAAATATGCAATGTGTCGCATCATATCCAAACGATGCTCAGGCAACCATCAACATGCCCGAATTGAAGGTGGAAGCCGTTGCAAGAAGGCTGAGAATTACCAATGCGAGCTTGCCTGGAATTTAGTTCGTACCCTTCTTGAAGATGAGGATTTGTCGGAACAGGCCTATACTGTTCAACAAGACGCCGAAACTCAAGAGCTGACTGGAGTTCTTCGAAAACTTGGCACAAGGCATGGCTCTGAAGCGGTGTGTATTACCTACCGCCTCCATCGAAACCTTGGGCATCCGAGAAAGGACACTTTGGTCCGTATGCTGCAGGCCAAGAATGCCGACCCGAAGGTCATTGCTGCAGCCAAAGCCCTTGAGTGCCCTTACTGCAACAAGTTTTCTTCCAGGAAACAATCAGCTCCAGCTCATGCCGAGCGTCCCATGGACTTCAATGAGCAGCTTCAGGCCGACACCCTGTGGTTTGATTTGAGCTCAGTTGAGCCTGATGCCCCTTCTGACAAAGTTTCCAAGCGGAAGGTTAGCATGTTGGTCATGGTCGATTCTGCAACTCGCTTCATGGTTGTGCGAACCATTCCTGATGAATCAAGCAACTCCCTCATGAAAGCAGTTGAACGTAAATGGATTCGCTACTTTGGCCCTCCGAAGCAGCTGAGCGTTGATGAATGGTCTGGATGGGGCAGTGACACTATGATGCAATGGTCTGGCGACCACAACATAGAGATGAAGATTTCCCCTGGGCAAAGTCATTCACGAACTTCAATTGTGGAGCAAAGACACCAACTCCTTCGCAAAGCACTCTCCATCTTCATAACAGAAAATGGACTACGTGGCCTTGATGGACTTCACACGGCCTTGAACTGGACAGTGCCCACATTGAATCAATGCACTTTTATGAATGGATTTACTCCTATGTAATTTGCCCTGGGAAAACAACCAAATATGCCTGGATTTATCTCTGACGAGCGCACTAGTCCAATTCAACTTCAACAAATTGAACAAGATCGACTACGACGACGACTTGAACTCAAAGCAAGTGCCCAAAATGCATGTACTGTTGCGGGAGATTGACGTCAAATTTCGACGTGTTCTACTCCGACACTTTTCAGGTGTTGATGAAGATCTACAGCCAGGTAAACGACAAAAACGAAAGAATCCAAAATCTTGAAAGTTTGGTTCATTACTACGAGCAAGATGTGACATCAACCTCTTTGTTTCTGAGCCGAATTGGAGCACGATACCATTTGCATCGTGATTGTCGAGTGTTTTTTCAAGCGAACCAAGCCGGCATACGAGATTTGAAATGCTGCAGCCAATGCATTCAAACGTTACGTGATAACAGCAACCTGGGTGGACCGTGGTGAATTTTTCTTTTTTCTCCACCGGTGTGAGTTTGGTACCACCAAATTGATCCATTTACCACTTTGCCAGGTTGGAACCACCACATACAGCTGCAGAACCACATTGGGCGTTCTCGACGCGGCCTCTTTGGCTTTTACGTGTCTTGCCTCTGGACAACGATTTCAGAGGGCCCTCTTTTGAGCCTAGCAATCGAAGCTACGCATGACAAAACAGATAGCACTCCTGCTTTGCATTTCGTGTTTGCACTTAGAGCGGTATAACACAACAAGATATCTTTACATATCTTCACATTCCTTTAATATATATAAAAAATATATATTATATATATAATTTTCTTTGGGAAATATATTTAAAATAATTATTTGTTTTTCTTTTTTATTTAATTTTTTTTTTTCAAGCTCACCTAAAAATATTCCCATAACCGGTATCGTAAAAAAATAAAAAACACCTATTTTGTATTGAAAACCAATGGAATTAGGTAGCGTTCCTCAAAATATTAATAAATCTTCCCCTAATTTTCATGAGTTTTCATGGTTGGTGTTTAAAAATATAGTTTTTAATATATCCCGAAATAATTAATTATTTAATTTGTTAATATATTATATTAAAAAAATATTTTTTTTTAATTTACCTAAGGATACCCCCAAAATCAATGTCGTAAAATAATAAAAATTACCTATTTTATATTAAAAATCAATAAAATTAAGTAATATTCCATTAATAAATTTGTTCCTTAAAATTTATATTTTATATATATAATTTTACAAAGCATTAAATCAACTACATATATAAAGGTATATATAATTTTTTTAGGGTATAATAATTCTAAATATTTAAAAATTTTAAATTAAAATATTTTTCCAAAAATAATTAATTTTTATGTTTTTGTTTTTTTAAAAAATATTTATTCGGGGATATTTCTCAAAATCGGTATTATAATTTTTTTTTGTTTTTTTAATAATAAAAATAAAAAAAATAAGTAATATTTTTCAAAAATAAATATTTTTTTTTTTAATTTTTTTATTTTTTTTTATAATAAATGTCAAAAAATATAGTTTTTAATTAAAAATAAAAAAAAATAGCAAAATTAATATCATATTTAAATTAAAAAAAACACAAAAATTAAATTAAATTCACAATATAAAAAACCATAATAATCCATAATAGGAACACAGGGTTTTTATTAGAGTTAAAGTTTTCGAAATTATTTTTTTAAAAAAATTATAAAAATAAACCATATTTTATTTACCGATTTTTGTAAAATTAAAAATGTGTATTAAATTCCAATATATTTTATAAATGAGTAATTCCTTATATATATTTATTTATTATATGAAAATTATATATTATTATAAAGATCAAATTTAAATTATTGTTTTTTAATATATTTGTTAAATAAAATAATATATTTTATTTTTTATATATTGGGATAATTGCGTTTTTGACGATCAAATTTCTACGTACTAATATTGCATGCCTTGGACTCACTACAGCCACAAACAAGCCAACTCAACAAGTCCAAAAATGGATGCTTAAAATATGGAAAACGAAAACAAACACTATCCATAGATGCCTTGCCAAAGAAATTGAACAGCAAATATCATGAATATATATATATATACATACGTATAAATATCACATAACAAAAGATCAGCTACTGTGAGATATCCATCCAGTTGCTTCACCGCCCGCACCGCCCATGACCTTCCGGGGCTATGGGCCCCTCCAAGGTACCGTGCTCAACAGGGCGGAAGGGCACCATATGGCATGGGGGGATTGGGTGACCACTCGCCACCTTCACCTGCGAAAGGCGTGGAGGCACTGACTTTCATTGACTTTTCCATGGCCATGGTGGTAGGGAGCTGAACCAATTGGAAGGAATCACATGGCAGCTTCAGAGTAAGCCCGTTTCAACCTGTGAAGAATTCGATATTACACTGTAACATATTTTTTGGCAACTATCTCATGGACTAATGGGAAGAGTTTAGGATGCCCCATAAACCGGCGCTCTTTCCGGCTCATCTTATCACCTCTTTCCTGGATGCCAAGGCTTTTTTGGCCATGCTTGGTGTTCTTCAGATTTAAGACCCCGTTGGAGATATCATTGACCGTCAAGAATGGGGGTCCTGGGGGATGCTACTCATGACATTCAACATTGAAATGGGATGAATCGATTGTAATCCATGTGTCAATATCAAAAACCAGCACTGGATGTTTCAGAAAAGTAGACAACTTATATAACCATCAGAAAAGCGTGATAGTGTTATATAATAGTTACATAAGTTATATATACATCATTCTTGGGGCATGGCCGTCAGCCATGCTGGGTTGTTGAAACGCGCAGGTTTGAATATAGTGCCTCCAGGCCAAACTTCACTCACACATTCAGGGTCCGTGTGCTTCTTCAGGGTTTGGGTTGTCTTTGCCGAAGCAGTTGCTATGTTTCTCGAAAAAGATCGGGATTCGGACCCTGCAATCCTTGTCCCCTACTATTCATGGGCTTGCAGCTGCGAGATACCCCACACCGCGCCTGGGTTGCTGATGGAGCCATAAACTGACCAAGATCCCATGTGAACATAAGCCCAGATGGTCTTGACAGCCCCAGCACTGCCGATCATGATGGCACTGTGCTTCCCATAGCTACCCATGCTGCAAACGCGCAGCATGATGTCTTCCTTAGTCGCTGGCATTTCGAGTTGGATATGCCCCAGCAAATTTCAGACAGACTCAAACCCACTTTCCCATCTTCCCCAGTTTTCGGGTGTGCTCGATCTGTCGCCAGAGGCTCCGGAGCAGATTCTCTCGGAGTCGAATGGTTCCGATCCTAAAAATCTAAAAATAAATGATGAATGATAATAACAGAAGGGGATGTCGCAACCAATCTCCGGAAACCAACACTTTTCCCTGAACAGAGACGTTTTTGCTGTCAGAAAAATGTGTCTTCTTCGGAATCGTCTCAATGCAGTATAGTACTTGGAGGTGCATCGCAGTTAATGTGGCTGATGACCACAGTTGTACAACTAATCGGGTAGGCGTTTCTTAAAATGGGACCAACAAAAAAAACGGAGTTTCCACATGCTAAAATGCCAAAGGTCATTCTAAGACGCAGTCGGTTTTGTTATCAACCCCTAAGAACAGGGCTACAGCCATCTGGAGAACTTACAACAATACATCAACCTGAGAATACATCAACCTGAGTTCAGTTCGGCCATTTAAAAATACGCAATTTTTCCAAGATCCAGCTCCCACGATCTACGTCTTTCTACAAGGTGGTGCCCCCCAGTTATAAGATGGTTTATAAACCCCATTAACTATAGTTATAGGTACCATAAACCATAGTTATTGGAGTTATAAACCAAGTTAGCTATCTAGGGGGCCCCACATTGTAGGCCAGGGCACTGGTTTCCACGGCGCCGAGGTGTCTTTGAGCTCAACCGAGTAGGTGCCGAAGGGGGAGAACGCCGTGCCCGTGGTCGCGCGGATGGCCTGATGAAATGGTGATTTGATGAGTGGCTCAACAGATATGCCAGACACTGCGTGGGAAAAATACGAGATTAATATACAATCTATAGTATAACATAGTATAACTAGCTTAATCCCATCCCCCATTTTTTTTTGAACACCCCTAGAAACCATGGTGGATGTAGGGAATTTCCACTGGATTCTACAATGGGGGTGTTTTTCATGTCAACCCTGGATTAATAAACGCCGTTTACGGCTGTTGAATTGGAAAGATATCAAATCATGACTGGTTGGTGGTGCAATAACCATCTTGAAAAATATGAGTTCGTCAATGGAAAGGATTATCCCATATATGAAATGGAAAATAACATTCATGTTTGAAACCACCAACCAATATACAATCAAGTACAATCTCCAAATTCTACTTACCATCCAGTAAACTGACATAACTATGTAGAATCACCATGTTCAATATGTAAATCATCTCTCAATGAACTATTTTCCATAGCCATGTTAGTTTACCACAGGGTATGTTAAAAATATGCTGACAAGAGGCCAAGACATAGCTGGGCCACTTGTGGGAAGCGATGATGAAGAGGGCCTTTCCATTGAAGAGGCCTCCATGGTGAACCATGGCAAGTTAAGTCGGTGCTGGGGGATCTCCCGTAAAAAAAAAAAAACATTTACAGAGGATTTCCATGGATTTCCCAGCTAGCCATGTTTCATTACCGGGAGGCTACAACTCCCCAAGAGAATCAAGGCACAGCCAAGCATCATGTCATACTGTGCTATCAAAGTTCTCCAGAGGGCTGGACACGGAAACCAACTTGGAATTCGAGCAGATGAAAACCCGATGTCATCAGCTTTCTGCCCAGTCCGTGTCAAACAGCCCCATTCTATGGTCCCGATGTGGATCCTGTACATCCCCCCAAGTGATGTGGCCAAGTGATGTGTGTCAGCCATATTTCAATGGATTGGATTTCACGGGAAAATTTACACCGGAAAGCCCCATATGAATAATGGGAAAATAACTCTGGTTTCCGGTGAAAATTTTCCCAACAAAACCAATCCATTGAATATTGGGTGTGTCTGAAATTGGGGTTTTGCCTATGTATAACTGGTTTTTTCGGTATAACCTCACCCCCATTTGGGCAATTTGCTTCATCGGGAACATGATGACATCTAATCCATTGGAACTCAAACGAGGGATACCACGGGATACACCATTGGTAATGTCAACCCCGGATTTTGCTAAACCCTGGTTTATGACAATTAGGGGGGTAGCCTTCCAATAGTCATAATATGATACTTAATATGATACTTTTTTATGGTAGCCTCCCAATTAAACAATCGTTAGGGGTTTATTAATCCAGGGTTGACATTAACTACTGCGGACAACTCGACAAGGTTGATTGTTCCGTCATGGGGTTCGAGCGGTCGATCGGGAGTCTGATTTTTTGGAATGTGACAGCTCCTCTGGAAGGAGTAGAAGACAAAGTCCACCAAGATTTAAGAATTATTTTTCCCGCAACTGGTCAACAAATATGTATACTGTCTATATATATATATACTGTATATATATACTGTGTATATATATACATCATAAATGGATGATGCTCCCTTTAGACTTGTAAGCCGGATACACTTAAGGGAATACATTCCGACTACTGTGGTAAGCCCAATCATTTACGATCCCCAATAGAGGTTTATCATCGACCCCGTGTTGGGGATGATCCCATCGTAACGCGAGCGCCTGGAACCCGATAGAGATCAAACAAATCGGAGCCCATGAAGCTGAAAGAAGGCATTGAGGAGGTACCCATCTGCCCCCACGTTGTGATGCCTTGGCATTTCATGGGAACATCCTGGTTCTAGGGATTTCCACTTGGATCATGATAATCCCTCACATGGTTAGTATACCCTACAAAAAGTCAACCAATAGGATCCAATAGGTATTTTGAACACTGCTCAGTTGTTTCATCATCTTTTCACTTCAGGCGATATACCCCATTTCTACTTTTGCTTTTCCAGATTCGAACAAACGTGCATCGTCATTTATTTGTTGTCCAAAATCTTAGAGGAAACACTTTGTTGGTCCAGAAATCAGATGAGCCCCGTTTTTCAACCCCCATACGCTAGTGGAAATCCTGCGAGGCAAAAACCTGGTTGACTCGAAACTTCAATCCTCCAGCTGATTCATCTTCGCCCTGCGTGGAGATAGAATGTTCAACAAAAAAACACTGGTTGGTGGTTTCATCCCCCCTGAAAAATATTAGTCAGATTGGATCATCATCCCAACTATTCGGGAAAATAAAAAATGTTCCAAACCACCAACCAGAACATGCTTACACTGTTCCGGAAGAATCTCCACTTCTTTGCGGTGTAAATCCCCTTTTCTCTCATCGCTACAGACCCAATGAGGTGCTAGTGCTGCAGCGACTAGATTACATGATGGGTGCTCACCGCAACATAATGGGACACAACATACTGGTGTAACCAACAATATGGGGCAAAAAAAATGGTCCAAAATGGGTATAACCCAACTTTATGGCAAGCTGAATGGAACAAACAAATGACGACCAACCAACGGATGTGGGAATATTCCCCTGATGTTTCATTCCAAATACCCTCTGGTAAACTAACATTTCACTATGGAAAATCACCATGTTTAATAGGTAAACCATCTATTTCTATGGGCCATCTATAGCATAGCTATTGAAAATCACCATTTTTAATGGGAAAATCCACTATCAATGGCCATGTTCAATAGCTATTTTGACATCACCAGAGGGTACACCTCATCCAGGAAGCGCATCCCATGGCACGATCCAAGTTGCGTTTGAAGTACATTCGATAGCTGGGATATTGCACCTCAATTGACTTGGTGTTCTTGATACCCTCTGGTTATGTCAAACATAGCTATTGAAAATGGTGATTTATAGTGGATTTTCCCAGCTACAAAATGGTGGATCTTTCCATAGCTACGTTAAATTACCAGAGGGTAAGTCCTGAGATTTCCCATAAAAAGAAACTGCCAAGTGGGTCCATCTGCCGAAATCATCGTCCAAACCTACTTTTTGAGGGGTCGATGTTTCATTTCAGCACAAATTAGATATACATGTATACATGTATGTATACATAATGCATGTTGTTGTAAATCTCCAATTGAAGTTCTGAGTTCTGCTGTCAAAATCACCAAAATTGTGTGGGACATTCACGATTTAACCATTCAAATAGTGACTTTCAAGCCCCATGGGAAGCCAACTCCCCCGGGGCAAAAACATTGGGGATACACCCGGATAGAATCGAACACGGAACATGAATATGGAGGTTTCCTAAAATAGGGGTACCCGCAAATCATCCATTTTAGATTGGGATTTTCCATGAAATAAACCATCCAGCGATAAAGGGGTATCCCCGTGACTATGGAAAACCCCATATGACCAGTTCCCAGAGTAAAATCATCCTGCAACACTGAAGTTCTGCACGTTGGTGAGGACAAACGAGCTGGCAACGAGGAGGTTGGGCGAATTGTAGCACCTGTTGTTTTCCGGACAAACACGCATGGGCTGGTGGGTGTTGTGAATCAAACATTTTGCATTGCATTGATCACTTTATAAAAGACAAACCCATTGCAACATCGGAACGTCTTTTAGAATGCAGGAGGCTACCTTGACACTCCGATGCATGTCAATCATGTTCAAATACTAAATCTTACCCTCTACTAAACTAACATAGCTATTGAAAATGGCCATAAGACATAGTGGATTGACCCATCAAAAATGGTGGATCTTTCCAAAGTTATAATGGGTTTGCCTGAAGATGTCTGAAGATGTCTGATCATAGGGTACCCCCTAAATCCACTGGTATATCATCAGTTTTCCCCTTAACACTCCCATTTTATTGGGTTTACGGTATACCTCCTTTTCAGACACAGTCAAATACTCCAAATTGTTGGTTGATTTATATCTCCCATTCGCGTCATTGATGTTTCCATTATATCCTTAGACTATACAGTAGTTGGTTATTCTAATTGGTAATATATCCGTACATCTGTATATATATACATATATAATATACATATATATATATATGTATTATTATTAGTATGATTATTATTATCTTCGTTGATAGTATATCATCATTTTCAGACACAACTGCGGAAGACAGTCGATTTTCCGGGCCGCGCCTGCCATCAGCACCAGCACATCCGCCAGGGCACATCTCGGCATGGAAGTTGGGCCCCAAAAAGGGCGTCCACTCCGACCACCATGGGGATATGAGAATAGGATGGAAGATATATGGTTAATAATTGGTTAATATGTGGTTAATATTGGTTAATATATGGTTAATAATTGCTTAATAATTGTTAAGATATATTTAATAGTGATTAATATGGCAGTGTGTTAAAACCTTGTACCCCTTCTGTTCACATCAAAATAGCTGGGATTTATGGATGTGAATATCCCCCTAAAAATGGTATTAATAGGTATTGATCCATACCCATTTAGTTGGATGTCACAATGTGATCTGATGGGAGATACCCTCTGGTTATGTCAAAATAGCTATGGAAAGATCCACCATTTTCTAGCTGGGAAAATCCACTATTTCGACTGGGTCATTTTCAATAGCTATGTTTGACATAACCAGAGGGTAACAGGATATAATGGGACAAACTCGGATCGAATGGGATATGATGCTATTGACATTTGTAAATTACATGTACCCGGCCTGGTTATGTCAAACATAGCTATTGAAAATGGCCATAGACATAGTGGATTTTCCCATTGAAAATGGTGATTTTCCATAGTTTTTTGTATGTTTACCAGAGGGTACATTTATACCACATATATCACACATGACATATACTACATGATTGCCAGCAATCTGATGTTTAGGCTTGTCCAGAAACTAGCCGTACCAGTACCCCCAGCAAAGCACGAAATTAAGGTGTGCCCCATGTGTTGGTATCCAATTTTTTGGGGCGAACCTGTGTACACAACCCCAGTTTGACAGGACATGGCCCCAGTCACCCGCACCTTGGGCCAGCTGTAGAGGCTACCATTCACTTGTGCGTATCGTCCTGGCCCTGTATCCAAACACTGCTTGCATCCCAAAAATTGACGATGAAAGGATGTCTATACACCTCTGAAAACTAACACTGAACCCAACACATGGCCCACATGCAGTATGAACATCATCAGACGGTCGATCTTCGTCTTCAGAAGGCCATCTCCAAGTGGTTTTATGGGTATCCTCTGGTATCCTCAAATCCTGGTCCATTGACGCATCTCCAAGTGACACATTTTCCGGCTTGGCATTGGGCCATCCGGAAGCTGGAACAGCTGGCAAAAGCGCAGGTGCCACCTGTAAAACCTCAAAGCGGAGACTGCTGCAGCTGCCCCAAAGATGTCGCTTATGTTGGGAAGCCGAAGCTGAAAACGTTTTGCTAAACGACAACTTAGCCCCTGCTAAGTCAAGAAGGCAACCAACAAATCCGTCCCAAGTAATTCTCCCAGGGAGCTGTAACAGCTAGACGCCAGGTTGAAGGGCTGAGCCATATGGGAAGAAGATGAAGTGCCTCCCCACCTGCACGCTTTTTCGCAGATAACCTCATGGCAAATCCCATGGATTTCCCCAAGAAAAGTTGGGAAACGAGCCAGAAGTTCTATGAAACTAACCAACAACAAGACCCAGATCGTTGGGGAATTTTGGGGGACCATGAGCAGCTCCGTGGAAAAATGCCGGTTTTGTTCCGTAGAAAATGATGTACCGAAGATTCTACAGGTCTTAGTAGATGTAGTTGGGATGAACCTCAGGGAAAGTAACAGTGCAACAGTTCTCCAGTTGCAGACTGATGAAAAAACTTGGCTGACGATTGGTCAACACTCTGCCCTACTATTCACCAGAAATCAGGACTGGGGATGGGTCAAAATTGAAGATTTGGGGGATCAGAGATTTTAGATTAGTTTAGTTTAGTATTAACCATCCAGTTATTGGGGTACCCAATTTTGACCCACTCCCATATATTCAGATGCAGTATGCACTTTTGGCAAATGTCCCATGATCTTTTCATGCTGCGCTCGCCTCTCTGAGCTGTTCATTCGCTGCTGATGAAGTTCCAAGAGCTTAACCAACTGCTCCTGCGTTTCAGGTCATGCGGCAATCAGCGAAAACATATATATATATATACATACCCTCTGGTAAACTAACATAGCTATAGAAAATGGACATTTATAATTGATTTACCTATGAAACATGGTGATTTCCCATAGCTACGTTAGTTCACCAGAGGGTCTGCCAGAGGCTATATACATATATCAGCATATCATAAGGTTCCGATACTTCCTCTGTAAACAGCACCGGGTGGGGTTGACCACCGTTTGACCAGTCCGTAAACAGGCAAAAGGTGATGTTGTCTACTACTATATACCTTTCTGGTGGTCTCAACACCCCAATAAATGTGAGTCGGTTGGGGATCATTGCAAATATGCGAGATGTTGAGCATGTTTATGAAACCGCCAACCGGCTACCCGGCTACCCAGGACTTTGAACATGTTCTAACCTCTAATTTCACCCAGCTAGAAGCCCACTTCTAATAAAGTTTGTGAGGCCTGAATTCACAGCTATGGCCCTGCCTTGGATATGTTTCGATGCCGGTCAGGGTATGGGTTGGCTTGGAGATGGGGTACCCTGCCAAATTTGATGGAACATTTTGGGGGGTACCTACCGATTTTCAGACAAAACCAAAAAAAAACAGTTTGAAGAACTCCAGAACAGAAATCTGGTAGAGCCTGTGTGTGTCACCCTAAACTCACTGCATTCCAACAGGATCAGGCCCTCCCTGTCCTTGGAGTACCTTGCTTCCGGTCCCTGGCTAATCATTGGCAGAGAAACATCCTGAGCCATCGGGATTCATTTCGGTGGTTTCGAATACCATCTCTCTTCATTTAACAGAGCTATGGAAGATCCCACTTTTTTTGTGGTAGATCATCTCAAAATCGGCCAGAAGGCACTGATAGAATCTTGGAAACCAATGAAGAAATGGATCTATAAGATGATATAAGCCACATTGTGCCTAGTGAAGCGTCATCAATCCACGTGATGTCTTGTCCTCTTCTATGCTTCGGAATGCCTCAATCTACCGTGATGTCTTGGTTTTCCAATCCACGCGTTCACCTACAGTTCCCCATAGGCGGCGTTCGATTCTAGTCTTGACCCTAAGGCCTAATTGCCAAGTTGAGGGTCAAACTTTTGTACCCACAAATAGGATCTTTTACTAGCTATTAAATATATTATATTATATATATTGTATTATATATATTATATTATATATATTATATTATATATATTATATCATATTATAAATATATATATATATATATGTCACATATAATTAATATATATATATATCATTATATATATATATCAAATATATATATATATATATCATTTTATATACATATATATATATATATCAAATATATATATATACATACATATATATATATATATATCATTTTATATACATATATATATATATATCATTTTATATACATATATATATATATCATATTAAAAATATGTATATATATGTGTATATCATATTATATCTATATATCATATTATATAATTATATGTATATATATATATATATTTGTCATATTATAAATATATCATATTATATATATCATATCATATCATATCATATCATATTATATCATATTATATTATATTATATATATATCATATTATATATACATGTATCATATTACTACATAGAGAGAGAGAGGGTCTTTGGCTGGACTTAAATATAGATTTTGATAAACTCTGATCCATCGCAAGATGTAGGGGTTTTGTCAAAATGTGGAAATTCATTAATATCCAATCACTCTCTCAGTATCCCATCAATATCCCAAATCTCATATTGTTGATGAAACATGTACCATGAATTGTTTATTCATAATTCGTTAATATCCCATCAGTATCTCACTTACATCCTGTTAACGCGATTTAATTCCCATTACATTCCCCTTATTGTTGCAGCCTGCCATGAACATCGGAGCCGCTGTATGCTCCTCCAAAGCCGCGTGTTGCAGCCCGCTGCTGTTGCTGGAAATATTGCTGCGCTCCTGCACAGATTTGATCGGTTGTTTCCCCTTCGTTGAAAAGGATCTACAACCGGTGGGTTTTCCATAGACATAATTTACAGAAAGGGAAAAGAACATGTGCCGAAAAAAATTAAAAAACTTACCTATTTTAGAGTAAAAACCATGGTTTCCTGTAGATTGTCCCTTAAATCAACATATATCACAATCATTCACAATCCCTGCCCAAAATATCAGTTGTCCGCATCAGGGCCACCAAAGATAAATCTGAGAATCTACCTCTCCAATACTAAACTATGGTTTCCGATGGTTTTGGGACGTGGGGGGAATATAGGTGGGTTTGTCATATAGTGCCGACTTCCGAGCTTCATGAAAACAAAACAAGGCCACTACATAAAATACATCCCAGAGATTGAGCCGCAGTCACTCACATTTGAGCAGTGTTCAATATCCGTCTGTCATTCCATTATACTGGTTAATTTTATACAATTCCCCTTTTTTGACTGGTGCGATGCTTTCAGTTGAAAACATGTCAGCAGCACAAGACACGCAGGTAAGGGAGCAGCTTTGTGCAGAGACGCACCAGCTGCGCAAGCAGCACCCGGGCGCGTGCCAACAAAGATAAAAATTACAAAAAGAAGATTGGGCGCCACCAGCTGCGCTTAAGCACCAAGTGCGCAGCACATTGCTTGAAGAGAGTCAATCAAGAAGGAGGTTGAAGTCGTATCAAGGGCTCCTGCGGGACTTGTGCTAAAAGCACCCTTTCCAAGGGACATAGCAGGCTGGCAAGGGCGAAAAATCCAGCTGCCATTGCGTGAGTGGGAGACATCAAATAGATCGCTTTCAAAGACTGTTTCAACCAGAAAAGAGTACGGTCCCTCAGCCTGGCCGTGGGGTTCGTGACCGCTTGTCTTTGCCAGAAAGAGTGCCTCTGTCCTGACCGCGGCCTCCGAGAAGGTGGCCACTTGCCAATCTATCGCAAACTTGAAGAAGCAGACATTCTCCATGGTCCACTCACTTGGATTGATTCATGTTTTGGGCATCAGGTGGATTGCATTTGCTCCATCAGGCCGGGGGAAGGGGCTTCCGACTCAATTTCTCTTTCAGGTGACACCCCGCACACACAATCTGGCAACCGCCTTGTCTGCTCCTGTGGTGCTGGTCATACTTGCTGGCCGGGTTGTTTCTCTTTTTGTTTGCCTACGGTGCTTTGGGAGATTGACATTAGGGAGAACTTATACATTAAGGACAAGAATGCAAAACCTTTGGGTCTTTCTGGCCGCATCTTCCTGCCGCGTGGGGGCCACCAACAGCAAGCCGGGAGACCGCGGTCATTCCTTCTCTGCTTGTGCCAACAGCCTACGGATTCCCTTATTGGATTACCAATCCCCCGTGTATCGGGTAATATAATCCCGTATAGATCATCAACCAACCAGGGTTTTCAATACTGTTCATTTTACAAACATGTCTGCCTCATCCGTCCCGGTCCTCTTGCCCCTTTACTGCGTGCAGCTGTACCGCTGCCAGCGCACAGTCAGTGGAGGACGCACATTCCTGGCCAATTGGTTTAAGGGAAATATTGCAGGACACCTCCATTTTCCCTTGGACTCGTTTCCTTTCTGCCACAAAGATAATCAAAACAATGAGCATTTCATGATATAGACCAAAGATGTTTTTTACTGGCTTCTTCAAAACACCATAAAAAAAATCAGCCCTCCACAACGTCCCTTTCTGTATATACAATGATATGTACATATATATATATATATATTCATTTACATATATATATATTGAAAATATACTAAATCCGACATATAATATATCATACATGATATATAATGAATAATAAATAATATGTATATATAATATAATATATAATATGTAATATATATATATAATATATAATACATAATAAGTAGTATGTAACATGTAATCTGTATACAATATGTAATATGTAATTTGTAATATGTAATATAATATAAGGCAAGAGGCCCCAAACATTGTGCTTTCAGGAATCAAAGGCAGACTCGGCGGAGTAGAAACAGAAGGGTAGACGTCCAGTGATCGGGGATTAATGGTGTGGCACGGACCAGATTCGTGCAGCTGCAGCTGGTTTTTGGCGTCAACGCCAGTAAGAGGCCATGCGCGTGTTGATATAATGGGGGTGGGGTGGGAGGGGGTAATAACGTTCTTTCGATTTCTACCACATGGTACGTTCTCTGGCACTTCCACACGTACGTCATACGTCATGCTGTGGTGCTGAACGTTCTCTTGCACTCCCACACATACGTCATGCTACGCTGCTGGACTTTCTCTTGCACTTCCACACATACGTCATGCTACGCTGCTGAACGTTCTCTTGCACTTCCACATATGCGTCATGCTACGCTCCTGGACGTTCTCTTGCACTTCCAAACATACGCCATGCTACGCTGGACGTTCTCTTGCACTTCCACATATGCGTCATGCTACGCTGCTGAACGTTCTCTTGCACTCCCACACATACGTCTACGTCATGCTACGCTGCTGGACGCTCTCTTGCACTTCCACATATGCGTCATGCTACGCTGCTGGACGTTCTCTTGCACTTCCACATATGCGTCATGCTACGCTGCTGGACGTTCTCTTGCACTTGCACACCTACGTTATGCTACTCTGCTGGACGTTCTCTTGCACTCCCACAAATGCGTCATGCTACGCTGCTGAATGTTCTCTTGCACTTCCAAACATACGTCATGCTACGCTGGACGTTCTCTTGCACTTCCACATATGCGTCATGCTACGCTGCTGGACGTTCTCTTGCACTTCCAAACATACGTCATGCTACGCTGCTGAACGTTCTCTTGCACTCCCACACATACGTCTACGTCATGCTACGCTGCTGAACGTTCTCTTGCACTTCCACATATGCGTCATGCTACGCTGCTGGACGTTCTCTTGCACTTCCACATATGCGTCATGCTACGCTGCTGGACGTTCTCTCGCACTTCCACACATAAGTCATGCTACGCTGCTGGACGTTCTCTTGCACTTCCGACACATACGTCATGCTATGCTGCTGGACGTTCTCTTGCACTTGCACACATACGTCATGCTACGCTGCTGGACGTTCTCTTGCACTTCCACAACAAGCTCGGACAACTTTGTGCTTGAAGCAAAAAAAAAAAAGAACTTTTCCACGAAGCTCTCCGCACACCAAATTACAGTTTCTTTTTGGTGAAACACTAGATTTTCCAATTGTGAAGCGACTCGAATTTTAGCCGTAAATTTATTGAAGAAAAACAAACATGTGCAAAATACTACAGTTGCGGACATTTCCACCATCATCCTGTGATTGTCTGATGTCATCAGCGACACGCCCTCTTACAGGCGTTGCCGCCTTGTGTTTGCATAGTCCTTTCGCAACTGTGCTGTGCGCAAGCTGGGCTGTGGAAGCGTACAGCAGGGGCAGTGCGCGATGCCGCGGCAACTGCCGGAGAGCTTGGGCTCTCTATTAGTGGTCTCCTGCCCAGATCTCTGTACAAGATCTCTAGAAGAGTTCTGTTGGCAAGATCCCTGTGGGATGTCTCTTGGCAAGATCTCCGAACAAGATCTACATAACATGTTTCTTGTCAAGATCTCTGCGCAAGCTCCCTAGAAGAGGTCTCAAGCCACAAGGACAAACCACACAACCCACTGTGCACGGGAGACTGTAGGACACTAATACCGCGGCACCCGTTTTGTGCGAGCCTGCGCCGTCGAAATGCACATGGACATGTCATAAGAACCATTTGTGTGGAAATTTACAGGGGAAATGCTGGACGCATCGCCCGGGGCCATCGTTTTGTGCGAGCCTGCGCAATCGAAATGCACACGGACATGTCATAAGAGCCATTTTGCGCGGAAATTTACAGGGGAAACGCCGGACGCACCGCCCGCGGCCATCGTTTTGCGCGAACCTGCGCAGTCGAAATGCACATGGACGTGTCACAAGAGCCATTTTGTGCACAGGGGAATGCTGGCCGCGTCGCCCGCGGCCATCGTTTTGTGCGAGCCTGCACAGTCGAAATGCACATGGACATTTCACAAGAGCTATTTTGTGCCGAAATCTACAGGGGAAATACCGAGCCTTAACTGTTACCGTAAGAACCGCTGTTTGGGGAATAAAATATATAATAGATAAAAGATAATAGACTATATATAATATATAATGAATCAAAAATGATATACAATAATATATTATATTATATTATATTATATTATATTGTATTGTATTATATTATATTGTATTGTATATTGTATTATATTATATTATATTGTATTGTATTGCATATTGTATATATATATATTATATTGTATATATTATATATATATTATATATATAGTATATATTATATATTATATATATCATATATTATATATTATATACTATATGTTATATATTATATAGTATATAGTATATATTTTGTTATATGTAGATATTTACTATAGTATATATATATATTATTTTACTATATTTACTATAATATATATGTATATAATTGTATATATATATATTATATTTAAATTGCGATGTGTATATATATATTATTATATTATACATTATATCATACATTGAATTTTATATTGAAGTTTGATTTGATATATATATATAATGTATGTATTTATATGTTTATTGGATATTCTATTTCAACAAATATCTACTATAATATATTTATGAATTATCAATTATATATTGTATATTCTATATTTTACATCATATATAAATAATTCATATTATATATTATTTATTGTACATTCTATATTATTCATTATACATTGTATATATTTATCATATCTGTTTAACTTATTGTTATTATGTATTGCATTGTTTTGTATTGTATTATATTATCCTCCTTTGGGGTTAGAGCCTTCAGGCACCCCTTTTTGACCCAAGTGGCATCATCTCTCACCAGCTGCGATACATGATCTGCGCGTAGCGTCAGTGCTGACAGCACCAGCAGCCAGGGGAAGATCGCCATGGCGAAACGCTTTGGACACACCTGGGGAAGCGAGCCTGGGCAGCCTGCTTTGTTTATTGATCATCGAGAGTGTACCTATATATATATACACATGCATATATTGACAAATACCATCAAAAAGCCGGGGATGACTGTTGGATCCATTTCGGCAGGACTGGCTTTTACATCTTTTACAGACTCGAAATACCCGAAGCGTTGCTCTTGACCGTGGCTTCTTGCGCATCCACAGGCAGATTTTCAGACTGAAGCTGCGGCACTGACAGGGTGCATGGTCAACATCCGAGGGAAAGGACAAAAATTGACATCCTGTTGGGATCTTTCCACATCATTGTTGGTGGTGCATGATGATATTGCCCCTCTGTCTCGGAAAAAAACAATTTGAAGAAACGTGAATGGCGTCCTGATATGATATCATACATACTATCATTGGTGGAAACACATCTTGTTATATCATATATACACAATATTGTTATATCATATCATACATATCATACACACATCTTGTCCTCCACTGTTGATGGCACGGCGGCACGGCGTGGTTTCCACTTATCCTGTCTATCTCTCCAACTGCGGTGAAGCTCCAGAAACAGCCATCTCTAGATTCTGGAAAAATAATATACTGTATATATATATATATGTATGTATATATATATGTATATATATATCTATATATATATCTATACACAGAACGATTCACTAATCTGAATTAAAGTCATTTTGGGACATCTACCCCTAATAATCATCATTCGACGTCACTTTTCGTGAAATCGTCGCAACATTTATCCGGATTATCCGGTACCATGTCACACCACCCTCCTGGCCATGGCCCCAGAGTTCCACGCTCCTTTCATTCGCAGCACATCGTCCTCAAATTCCGGGAATCGCATCCCAGGCTGCTTGCTGTTCAGCTTTGCTACGCGACTGGCCGATGGGCCTGCACAGCAGGGGGGATTCATACGGGATTTTTGTCTGGAAATGGGGGATACCCAAAAATTGATATTGGGTTTATCCTATATCAATATCAATTATAGGGATTGAGCAAAAATGAGCATCTTTTTTACTATAGTTTGTCAGCTATAGGGAAAATGATGATGAACTATGGGATTTTGGGGTATCCTATTTTCAGACAAACCCTTTTGGCCCCTGTTTCTTGTGCACAAAGAGGGGCTCTAAAGAGCCGGTAAATCGTTGCCGGCAATGAGCCGCCGTCAGCGTATTGTAGCTTCGAGTCCCTGCTGGGAGGCACTGACCATTCACGATGGACCTATTGAATATGGGGATCTTACGTTACCAGGTTGTTTTTTATTGAAGGAACACCCCATGCCCCTGATGACAACCCATGTGACACCAAAACAAAAGATCCAATACTTTACTGTTGAAACATGGTTTCCTCTTGGAGGGGTGGTTCTTAAGAAAGGATTGATGGGCTCACAGTTACACTCAAGAAGATTAATCTATAGATCCCCTGATCAGACTCAAAACCACCACTAGACGAATAAATCATACTAAATCCAATACATTTCACCAGGGTTTCGTCTGGGTGGTAATTCATGTACTATTGCATCAGTGGCTATATATATATACACAATCATACATATATATATATCATTGTACCCATTTTAGGATGGTTAAACCCTGTTAAACTCAGTGTTTGATTGTTGGCCCCATTAGTTCTAGTATGGTCGTGACAAGGGACAGGGTGTCCACCCAATTTTCATGCCCATATGTTTAAACCCTAAAAACCTAGATTCTTGTTGGTTATTATTGCTGGTAACCATCCCTATTGTAATAGCTGGTATATAAATTGATGTTCATCCCCCCAAATATGTTATGTCATAGGTGTTGATCCTGATCCGCATGTTTGCATGTGAAATTCAGGTATTTGTGTTGCTGAGCGTATTTCCATCTTGCCAAAAAGTATTCCAGAATGTTCATCATCATATGCAAAAACTGATGCTTCATCATCATGTTCCCCAAGTTAAATTTTTGGGCACCCAATTTTCAAACAGACCCATCTTCTACAAAAATCAATCAGAATGTGGGCCGAATCTTTGGTTGTTCAAAAAACTGACCCCATGGTTGCTGGCCCAAGGTATCCCCACCAGCCTCGCCGGTGATGTCGAGGAGCTGCGCGCGGAGCGGCTGCTCTTGGCCGGGCTGCTGGCGTCGGCTACGCTGGTGCTGCCGAAGACCAGGCTGTCCACGGTGCGGCCGTAGATGTCGCACCAACCACTGCCTGGGGCAATGGCGATGCGATGCTTGGTTTGGAAGGGAGGTGTTGGATTTTAGTGGATCTTCATCTAGGTTTTTTTTGGGGGTTAGAGCTGGTTTCATTGCGGCTTGATTGGTTTTCATGAGGTCATAAATGGAAATCTCATTGGTTTTTGAGGCACTGGGGACTGGGGCCCAGTCCTAAATATGAAGCTCTTAACAGGGATCATCATTTTGGGGATGGAAATGTTCCATCTATGAAGCCATCAACAAGGAATAGCCATAGGTCGTTCATCCCTTTGACGGAGGTTTTTGCCAAACGTGTCAGCATTGAGTCTGGGACACAAAATGGGATCATGGGAGCACGCCGGATTGGGATTGGGAGCAAGAATGAATACCCTCTGGTTATTTAACATAGCCATGGAAAATCCCAACCATAAATGGAGGTTTTAATGGGAAATTCATCTATAAATAGGCAATTTTCCGTGGCTATGTTAAATAACCAGAGGGTAATTATCCCAGTTTGCATACTTCAATTGGTCTGCCAAAGCAGTTGCATGGTTCAACATCGGCACAATCTGCTGAAGCTATGTAGGACATAGGTGGCACTGCCCTCGCACCTTCAACGTAGAAGAGATCATGGTCTTCAAAACCTTCCGGCTTCGGTGGCGGCACAGTCGTTGGCACTTCGCTCACCGGCGCGTCAGGTTTCAAGAGCCCCTTGGCCCTCAAGGCAGCGATGCGTGTGGCTTCAGCTGGACTCAACTTGCTGGATACATGTTCAAAGCTTGCTGCATGGGGCATCTGACAGCTGGCAGCCTGTTGAGGTGCTGGTGCACTGAGCTCTGGAGCTGCTACAGCTGCCAGAGGTTCCACTGGCTCCATGGGCGACACCGTTGGCACTGGCAACACCTCGACTGGCACCGGCCGTGGTGCTGGCGGTGGTGGCTGTGGTGGCTGTGGTGGCTTCGCCACATCCATCTCTGCAGCTCCCTCGGGGCTCGGTGTGGGCGGTCGATCATCAAAGTTTGGCACCTCATCACGCGAACCCTCGGGGGTGTCGGGTGGCGACACGCCCTCGGTGGCAGCGATGTACCGCAGGGGGCCCCTCAGCGCGGCGGCACTGGGCTCTTCCCCAAGAAACTCCGTAAGCGCCGCTGGCACCGGCCGTTGGGCCTCCACCTGCGCCGAGGCTGGCACTGCTGCAGGCACTGGGGCCGGGGCTGGGGCCGCAGTGACCGTGACCTCGGGCCGCGCAGCGGCCACGCAGCGTTGCACCTCGTCCTCACTGGCGGTGTCGGAGGCGAGGACCAGGTCGATGAGCAAAGGAGGCGAGCACTCGATGTTTACCTGGGACTGGTGCGAGGTGTGATGAGATGTGAAACTCCCGAGAATGACCAAACAGAAGTGCGCTGAGAAATATGTCAACACTTAAGTAAATAATGGGGCATTGTTCAATGCTTAACTCATTCCCTGAGAATTTCTGAACTATGCACCCCATCCTAACAATACACCTGAGCAAAACTAGCATAGTATTTTCCATGTGAGTTGCCGTGTCAGTTCCAGTCCTCCTACAATATCCATGTGTGTCCGTGCATTTAGAAGTGAGTTAAAACCAATCCTTGCGACTCACCACCCATCCCAGCAAACCCCAAATGTGAAGCCCTGAATCCGACCCCAGCACTGACAACCCCAAATCGCCACCCAGTGGCGGTGAAGAACTGGCACAGCAGCTCCGGCTCCACGACAAACAGATCCGCGCCAATACGAAAGGCCAATGTGGCGCCCGGCGCCAAGGTCACCTCGCCCACGTGTTCAGCACCTGGTCATGGCCAGTTTTTCGAACATGTGAGGGTTGCCCTTGAGATTTTGAGCCTATTTTCAGACAATCCCCACGTGGAAAGGTGAAAAACCTGGGCTGTGCCGAATCAATCTCGTTTTGTGGATTCGGAACTTGTAGTTACCATCTGGTTATTTAAGCCATGGAAAATCACCATTTTTAATAGGTAAACCATCTATAAATGAGCCATTTTCCATGGCTATGTTAAATAACCAGATGGTAGAAAGTATTGACCATTTGACCAGTCAAATTGGGATGGTCCCAACAGACATGGAGCAAAAAGTGCTTGCCGGAAACTCGCCACATCCCTGTTCCACAACACCTGAGACAGATCTGTTTCCCAGGTTTGGGTGAATCACCAGAGGCTGGCTGTACCTCCGGTCTTGTTGCTGTTACTCATACTTGTCCACATGTGTTCATCTATTGATATCTATATTATATATATATATCATGTACATATCTATAATATATATATATGCGATATATATATATATACATATGTGATATATATATATATGATATATATATATACATATACATATATGATATATATGTATATATGTCATATATATATCATATATATATACATCATATATATATATCATATATATATATCATATATATATATATCATATATATATATATCATATATATATCATATATATATATATCATATATATATCATATATATATATATATATCATATATATATCTATCATATATATATATATCATATATATATATATATATATCATATGTATATATATATATATCGTGTATATATATATATGTATATATCCTATATATATACCGTGTGTATATATATATATCATATATATAATAAATGGTGTATATAATATATCATATCATATCATTTCATATTATATTATATTATATTATATTAATATCATATCATATCATACCATATCATATTATATTATATTATTTTATATTATATTATTTTATATTATATTATATTATATCATATCATATCATATTATATTATTTCCAGAAATATATGTATATATATATATTATATCACATATATATATGATATATATATGTGTGTGTGTGTGTTCGTCGACTAGAAGTTTATAGACTCAGAGATACCCTGCAAATATGGACTCAAATTCCCTGCAAAAAAAAAGTATTAGCATAGCATTCCGTATTCCCATCTATGGCTGAAAAGTCAGTAAAGTACCTTCACCCAGGAAGAGCAAACAGCCAAGATTCCAATCTGCAGAGAGAAGGGCGGCTGCGGGTTGCTAATGCGCAAGGGGAGCTCACCTGGAAAACCACGAAGGCTCGAGAGTCGCAGCAGGATGTCATTGGGAATCCGGAACCGGAGACAGCTTGCTTGCTGACCCATGTTGAATTCTGAAGTGAAGTCTTAGACCATGATTATCATGATTCTTGTTCATATCATGTTCGCAAGAATATTTTGGCGTGTCGAACTTCAAGACGCTGGTCGTTGCTGGTAAACTAACATAACTATGGAAAATCACCATTTTTGATGGGTAAATCCACTATGTCTATGGCCATTTTCAATAGCTATGTTAGTTTACCAGAGGCTATTTCCCCATAAGGACCCGCAGCTATTCAGCTATTTCCACAGCTTGCGGGAAGTTGAGACTCAAATGTCCCACCTTTGGAGATATTGCGCAGCAACAAATTTCGGGTGTTGCTGCCACCGCGATTGAAGCGCAGATGTCTGGGCACTGCATCCAACAAGTGCTCCGCCATAGCGGAAAAGTCATGGATTGGTAGCAACTCTTCAGTTGGTGCCACAGAATCTCATGATGCTTGGTGATCCTGCTAGGCTTCAACACGTCTGACATGTTGCTTGGAAGTTTCAACCAAAAAATTAAGACATCTGAGACTTCTGGCTGCCATGATAGTCGTGCCAGCTGAGCGAAATCCAGGACGACCAGTGAAACTGACGAGGTTTACGCCATAGGCCCCCTGGAACACAGAGCTGGCTGCTGGGCAAGTTATTCCATGTCATTGTGATTCCTGTGTCACCTCTTTGTTGTTCTTCTGGGGCATGCAACTGATCATGACATGCAGCTGATCAGCTCTGCAGAGCTGAGCCGTTCGGAACCGTTGAACCGAAACAGTCCGAAACCTCCACCTGGGTCACCTGGGTCTGTCTGAAAATAGGGGATTGACCGTCACCAAAGTACCATCTATTCATTGGGGAAGCGATGATTGACCACTGGATTTATACAATGTGGGGCCCCCCAAACGTTATAAGTTGGTTTATAACCCCATCTAACTATGGTTATAACTACTATAAACCCTAGTTATTGTAGTTATAAACCAACTTAGCTATCTTGGGGGCCCCACATTGTAGCTACCCTATTTTCATACAAGCCCACTTGGGAGTTTCAGTGTACAAAGCTTGGGACGACGCTTTGTAAAAGATTTCCCAGGCATATCCTGTAACTGCTCTTAGAATGATCGTGTCGCAGAACTGACATGTGAAGCTGGCGGAACTTCGGAAACCGACAAGTTTGAAGGAGTCACAACAATTTCATGGTCATGAAAAAATTGATCAATTTCTCCAAACCCTAAGCCGCTTCTTCTGTAGTGATACCGCTTTTGGACCGATGCTGTTTCTGTTCATGGAGATTGAATCTGCAGTGCCTGAAAAACAAAAATCTTGCTGGCTTTAGCATCCACTATCGTAAACAGCAGCATTCCAACTATATGGAAATTATGGAAAGCTGAAAAATATCGTGAAATTACCCAGTGGCCTGGAATTCTCCGTCCTCCTTTTCCCAACGCAAGAGTCATCATGCAAAAAGATGTGGCGGGTCAACGCCGATCCGTGGGCCTCCCCGAGGCCCCCGGGTGATCGCCGATGGCCGCACTGATCTGTCGACCATCAGCAGATGCATTGAGCACTGATGAGTTTGATCTCTACTGCGAGCTATTCAAACTTTGCTGGCGCAGGGACTTCCCTTGGCGAATTGATTCCTATTTTTGTGGTTATGGAAGACCTCTTGGATGCCTCATGAGTTTCCTGTTGGACAGCGCCTTTTTTGCCATGGTACAGTAGTCATTCGAGTTCAATCTCTGCTCGAAAACTTCGCACAAAGCTGGCCAGCAGCGCATTCAGGTGGTTGCACACGCAAGGTTTTTTGTTGCGCGTGTCGCCATGAGTCTGGCCGAACCTGGCATCTAGCTACATCTAGGTGATCTGTTGGGTGTAGCAATGTAGCACAGTGACGTGTGACATTTCTGCAACCCATGCTCGGAAGCATGGCAATTGAAAATCATCCATTTGGGGATGGGTCAAAACCCTGGTACCTTTTGTTCACCCCAAGTCATAGCTGGGATTTATGGATGTGAATAACCCACTATAGTAATGGTATCTATAGGTATTGACCCATACCCATTTAGTTCCATGCTACGGTGGATTTTCCATTGCCGGACAAAAAGGCCGCAATGTTTCGATGGGTCGCCAACGATCCGATGCTGAAACCCTCAGCGAGGGTAAAAAAAAGGGGCACGAAAGCCATGAAACGAGAATTACAAATCCCGTAAAGGACCAAAGTTTGCATGATTTTCTGGTCTTAAAATCTAGATGTCTCTGCAAATACGCCAATAAAATCCACTGGTTCATCATCGTGTTCCCTGATGAAATTTACAATTTTGGGTACCATCTGGTAATTTGTTACATAGCTATTCAAAATGACCATTTATAGTGGATTTCCCATGAAAAATTGTGATTTTCCATAGCTATGTTAGTTTACCAGAGGGTATACCTCATGCTCAGACACAGCCATTTACAACCAGCCAACAGCTTGGGATGATGAAGTCCCAACCCCAAAAAAACTGCGCCTCCCGAAGTCGCGATTTACACCGGCCAAGTGAAGAACGCCTCTGGCCCAGGGGGAATCAACTGAAGATCGCAAATAAAACCAAGAGATCTTGGGAATTATTTGGGAAAATTGGGTCTTTTCGATATCTTCCGGAAGTACCCAACATTAATATAGTTGATATATATTGATATATTTGTAGAAAAGACATACTGGTCATCAAACATGGCTTGCTGGAATATCCACCCAGCTAAGTTCGTTGATTTCACAGCTTTTCAGACTCCATCTAAAATTGAGTTCGGAAATTTCCCAGCTTGCCATGATACCGGAAGGTCAATTCTTGGTGAGGATTATTTGGGCAAAAAAAATGTGGTCTTTTCGGGAAAATCAGCTTCGGGAACCACCAACCATTCACCAGAATGGTAACTCACCCAGGTTGATGAATGGATGGTAAGTATTTGGAGATATTCCCAACAATTCTTGCTGTTCTGGGCCAACCTGCCATGGGGTAAGCGCACACTGATGGCCCATTCAGAGTGAAAGCAGGATATGACCTTTCCCATGGTAGGAGAGTGGGAACCAAAATAAGTATGCAGCAATGCAGCATGACTCAAAATGCAAACCCCCGAATCCCAAAGGTTTCCGACTAATATAGTGGAACATGTTTGGGGACCCCAACTCTGGGACATACCCAAATACACGAAAGCGGCAATTGGCCATCAACAGCCCAGTTCCAAGAACTTACATACCCAAAATTCCGACAAAATTCACGTACTAAAAATCAAGGTCTGTTTCAGAGCTGCTGTAGGAGGAAAATTCCATCGCATTGGGTGTATCAATGATCCCCAGGGGTGCAAGCCATCCGTGTTTGAGAGGCAATAGTTTTGACACATATTAATGGGTCTATGCGCGGCGAATATTAGATATTCTGCATGTTCTTTTTTGGCTGGTGAATATGTTTATCTACATAGTGTGTATATATATATAACACTATATACATATAGATATATATACACACACCTATGCATATATATATATATATATTATACATATATAAATATTATATATATATATATACATATAGTATATATATTATATATTAAATATATATAATAATAAAATACAATATAATATAACATAACATAACATGACATGACATGATATGCTATAATATAATATAATATAATATAATATAGTATAAAATAAATATACTATAATATAATATAATATAATATAATAGTATAATATAATATTAGTATAATATAAATATAATAATATAGTATAATATAATATAATATAATAGAATACAATACAATACAATATAATATAATATAATATAAGATAATATATGATAATTTAATATAAGATAATATAAGATAAGATAAGATAAGATAAGAAAATATAATATAATATAATACAATATAATATAATATAATATAAGATATGTATATGTATATATGTGACATTAATTATATGACAATTCATAGCACTAAACTACATGTACCCATCCGATCGGTTGCAGCATGTCATCACAACAAACTCAGTCAGCTTTCGCAACGAAATCCTCCTATTTTGGGGCGGCAGACTTGCAACCAAGCCACTGGAAGTGCCCATAGCCCTCACGGGGTGCCTTTGAACGCCCAGGGGAAAACAATGGAAAATAGACAGTAGGAGCATGGCTTCTGGATCTCGAATTTCTGAACGTTTTGACATGTTTTATGACACTCTCGGCCCATGTTGGGTCCGAGAAATACAGTTCAGAAGGTACTATCACCATGTTTGTTGCAGTTTTATTGAAAAAAAACATGCGTGTGGGTTCCTGACATTTTTTTCCACCAAAAGGCCACAGTTGGATCCCGTCTTTGGTTCTTCCAGCCACCATCCGTTGCCCCGGCACGCGCCCCTGCATCCCAGATGCCAGAGCTCAACGCTGGTTGCTGATCCCCAGAACCTTCAAGCTCCTTAGGGGGTTGCTCCACCCCAGATACAATGGGGGAAATGGGCAAATAAAGATGTAATTCCCATAACGGCGTTGTGGCTATGGTTTACCTACAATGGGTTCAAGCAACCCTGATTTACTCCGGACCAATCCATGAGTAAATCAGTGCTCAGTTTGGACAATTCCTGTGAAAATTGTCTGGAAAAAATTACTTTACTTCGAGTTGTCCCCACCATGACATTTAGACGTTTTGTTACTGGCAAATCTTCTGGCATTCTTTCTGACATATCTTCTGGCATTTTATCTGGCATATCTTCTGGCATATATTTTGACATATCTTCTGGCATATCTTCTGGCATATCTTCTGGCATATGTTCTGGCATATATTCTGGCACTCTCTCTGGCATATCTTCTGACATATCTTCTGACATTCTATCTGGCATTCTATCTGGCATTCTATCTGGCATTCTATCTGGCAAATCTTCGGGCGTTCTATCTGGCAAACATTCTGGCACTTTATCTGGCATACATTCTGGCATTCTATCTGACATTCTATCTGGCATACCTTCTGGCATTCTATCTGGCATATCTTCTGGCATTCTATCTGGCATATCTTCTGGCATTTTATCTGGCATATCTTCTGGCATTCTTTCTGACATTCTATCTGGCGTTCTATCTGGCATATCTTCTGGCATTCTATCTGGCATATCTTCTGGCATTTTATCTGGCATATCTTCTGGCATTCTTTCTGACATTCTATCTGGCGTTCTATCTGGCATATCTTCTGGCATTCTATCTGGCCGTTGAGGTCCAGCGGTGCCCACTGCGCTCAGAACCTGGCGGTTGAGGTCCAGCCGTGCCCACTCAGATCGGAAGCCGGCAGTTGAGGTCCAGCAGTGCCCACTGCGCGCGGAAGTTGGCGAAGAGATTGGCGACGAGTTGGCAAGGCGGAAGTGGACGTGGAAGTTGATGCAGACATGGTCGAGGAGAAACTGGAGGAGGAGGAAGAGGAGGAGGCAGAGGAGGAGGAGGAGAAGAAGGAGGAGGATGAGGAGAACAACTCTGATAAAATCTAACAACCCTCACCTGGCAGGTGGGGAAATACTTTCTTGTCATACTCCTGGATGGGAACCAGATCACTGATCCATGAATCATACCCATTCTGCAATAGTATGACATTGCCTGGAGTTTTGGTAAGATCATCCAATCTAGAGATTGAAAATTGGTAATATTCTATCTACTCCAAGGTCATGATGAATCAGAATTCATCTAAACCCCATGATTCATTTATCACATACCTCCAAGTTTGGTGGCTACAGTCCCATCTTTGTTGTTGAAATCCCTGTGAAATCCCCCATGTGGTCTGGCACATGGTACAACCCCCAACGAAGATCAACCTTCAACTGTTGGGACTCCACTATTGGAAACACCGTTTGGCCTTACCCTCTGGTCATTTGTTACATAGCTATTGAAAATGGCCCATTTATAGTGGATTTACCCATTGAAAATGGTGATTTTCCATAGTTTGTTGTATGTTTACCAGAGGCTATCTTTTCTCAGACCAAGAGTGTGAGAGGAGGAAGTGGCCATCCACCAACCTTGCTATCCAAGCGGCCGGGTGCGCGAAAAGCCGGCCAATCGTTCGATGGTGCATTGACCATCCCGGCACATCTGGGAACCCCAGCCCCCTGACAAACCAGGAGGTCCGACGTTCCCATGCCTACCCTGCGGGCGACCAGGTAAACACCACGAAACCGCTGCTGTTCTCGAAGATATGGGATCTTCTCAATTCATCTCACACCCAACGGTCTTATGGGTGATACGCCATTGATCTACTCTTTTTTTCTGGCGGTTTATGCCATCGCTTGCCAGTCTTCACTAACAGAATCCCGTCTGATGACTTGTCATCCATAAGTTGCTTGGAAAATGCAGTTGGTTTAAATGTACCTCCAAGTTTACACCCCAGTTCGGCTACTGGATGTTGGCCTTCCTAAAAAGGTCCATCCCTGATGGATGGCTTCATAGCCCACTAATCTGCACGTTTGCTACTGAAAAATCCCACTGCTTGATGGTGATTTGTTTGCCTGAATGCCCACCACTGATATTTATATATTCATTCATTATTATATAATGATTATGTATCTACATATATATATATATACCTAATGTATACATATATAGTCGCTGGCTTGTCTTTACTAACTACTAATTCAGTCCACCGCGACGACCCGTCTTCCAGAATCACTTCTCGCAGGCCGCCGCGTCGCCGCGTCGCCGCTCGCAGGGTGGCAGCTGTACAGATGGGAAAATACCAGACGCGATGCATGGAAAATATTCCCAGGTTGCACCAATCAGGCAAGTGTTTTCCATGGAAAATATATATGAAAATCCGCATGGTGAGTTTACTCACCGATGATGTGGCAAGTTGATGCAATTTGGGATGAGAAATGCCTGGCTTCTTTGAGTATATCAGCCGTCATTCTGTGATGAAGCCCCATGTGGGTAAACCATCACTTTTTGAGGTACGCCTGGCCTCATTTCCCTCACAGGGCACTCCGCCTTTTTTGCTGTGCAAAAAAAGGGAAAAAAGGCACCTAATACCGCAAGAATTGATTCTTGACAGCGTGCTTTCACAGGTCATTTACCCTCCGGTAAACATACAAAAAGCTATTGAAAATTGTCATTTATAGTTGATTTACCCATTGAAAATGGTGGTTTTCCATAGCTATGTTAAATTACCAGAGGGTATACCTATACATAGACAAATAAATATAATGTAATGTAATGTACTGTACTGCAAAGTACTGTACTGTACTGCAATTCAACGGAATGGAAGGTATATAATGCAATGCAATGCAATGTACTTTATGTTATGTTAAGTTCACTGCGATTGGTGCAACCTGTCGTTTAGCACAATAGTCTGCCATGCTGAGTCGTTCCGAATTTTGCCTCAGACTTACGAGCACGAGAATCTTGTGTCATGCCTCTCTGGGGCTGTTGGACCATGGGTTGATGATGGCCTCAACAGGGTACCAAGCACCTACCAGTATCTATCAAATCTATCCACCAAAGTGATTGTTTTGGGGTCTCCTTGGCAATTTAGAGAGGATATCAACCATAGCTGGTTGTTTTGCTGGGCATCGCTTAGGCCTAGGCCGTTCACGGTCCCGAAACTGGCTGATAGAAGGTTGGATCTGGATGGAACTCCCTTCAGTGTCTTCAGAAGTTGGAGATCCCCCAACTCATCCACTATTTCATGATGCTAGGAGGGGTGCTTGCAGATCTTGGGGTGAAGATGACACCAAAGATGGTGCTGTTGAAAATACCTGAGAGGTAATTTCACCTGGTGTGTTGGAAACTCCTCCATAGAAACAGATGCCACCTCCATAAAAGATGGATGCAAAGGCAATGGCACACTTTTGGACACCAGGCTCATGCGGGCTCATGCCGCATCAGTTGCTGTACATGGGCTAGCCACAGCTTCACTGATGCAAGCCACTCAAAGGGCTGAAGCTGCGCGGAGACCATCCACATCCGCCAGACTTCAGAGAACAAAAGCGAACTGAGGCCGTGTGAAAGATGGGTCAACATATTCAACCCTTTTTTTGTAACATATTGCAACCACATTCCCCCTTGATTTCTTCGTTAAATAACCGTTAAATATGTGTTTGAACCATTTTAAACAGAACTTTTCTTGGTTTTTTCGTCAATCTTTCAGTGTGGGGCATTGGCTCCAACTTCTCCCGATGCCATCTGTTTACACCACGAAGCGTTTGGCATCGGCGAGGCAAACCTGGCACCGTGGCACGCAGCAGCTGAGAATGACTATGATCGTGAGAGTGACGATTACAAAAGTAAGGATCGTCATGCAAACCATGATTCAAAAAGAAATGATAACACATCTATTATTACAATATGATCACGCAGCATTCAACACATTCGAATACCGTGTGTTGCCATTCTAAGAGAGTGACCCCCATCACCAAGCCACGCCTAGGATCCCAGGATCCATCCCCCCAATACTTTGTCCCTAGAGGAATGTCGTCTTCCCCCAACTCATGGCAGGGCCTATGGGCCTATGTTACTTGATGGCTTAATGTTTCATGATTATGTATATATATACGTATGTATACTTTACTTTATCTAAAAATTAAATCTACTAATATACTTTCTGCTAGCATTAAAAAAAAAAACACATTTCCTGATTTCAAAAACCCCTCCTCATCGAAGGTCGAGAAATGCTCCGGAATCTCGGGTTGGGTATGATCCTGGCGATGCCGCAATGCCCACGGCGACGGGGGGATTTTCCATCACGCCGCCATGTTTGACTACCATAGCTATGGAAAATGGCCCATTTATAGATGGTTTACCTGGGTTTACCTATTAAAAATAGTGATTTTCTATAGCTATGTTGAATTACCAGAGGGTAGCTATTGAAAATGGTGATAGAAATAGTGGATTGACCTATTAATAGCATGGTGATTTTCCATAGTTTCTTGTATGTTTACCAGAGGGTACCAGAGGGTATTCCATTGAATGAGCATTTACAAACGGTTCATATTGTTCATTGGGCATGTCACATGCAGCCATGTTCCTTGTTGAGCATGACCTTGGACAGAGTGGAACTCACATCATTCAGTTGATACCCGACTCCACACGTGCATCAACGTAGATCTGGAAATCCATATGGTTATGGGATGTTATGGGTCAAAACCGTGGTACCCTAGGTCCTAGGTACCCTAAGTCATAGCTGATTTATGTATGGTTCCCCCCAATTGTTTATCCAAAGATGGGTCAATTCCCATAGCTTTTGACCCATGGCCCATCCCCATATGGTGGCTTTCCAATGGCTTTCCATAGGAAAATGATCAGTACCCACTCAGCATGAGTTCCTGTAGTATCTGTAGTCCATTCCCACTACGAAAAAATGTCCTGAACTGAAACCCTGGTTTAGTGGATTTATTCATGGTAGAAAAGCTAGCTGAAAGTTGAGGCTTAATCGGTTAATCCCATCCCCAGCAACTCCTCATGTTAATGAATAATGTTGGTCGATAGAGAAAATATCGAACCTTGGAGGCAAGGACCAACTCCCTCATCATCTTCAGCTGAATCTCGTACTGCTCCTGGTGAAATTGGAGAAACACATCATCAGCTCACGGCTCAGCACCCAGGTTACATACTTCTCATGTCACTGTAAGTTCTTGAGCTGCTAATGCATGTTGGCCACCTCCTGTGGCAGCCATGGGGGACAAAGGCGTGATTTGGATCTATCCCCACCCCTTGGTGCTCAGTTTTCCCAGTAAAAAGCACCCAGGTTCCCAAAACGAACGACAGCACACAACATTCACCACACCCAAAATGGATCGAAATGGATCGAAATGTGAATTTTAGACAGTTTTTGAGCCATACCGGCCATACCCTTTTGGTCTGATAATGGGGTATCCCGGTATCCCCAAAATTCACAACGGTTCATCATGTTCCCCATCAAAAATCGCTGTCTCAATGCCCCCTTTAATAGACACCCCGAGCTCCAAGCTCTCCGTCCTTGGTCTGACGCCTCAAAATCTCCATGCACTTGGGGTGCTCCCTCTCCTCCTTCTTCCAGATCTCCACACACTGCTGCGAGCAGCTCATGGCCTTTTCAGTCACAGGCATCTTGAACTTCATGAAGCACTCAGGGTTCTGCATCAGCAGCATGGTGTCCTGAAAAAAAAACTTCTGAGGGAGGTTGGATGAAGTTGGATGAAGTTGGATGAAGTTGGACGATGTTGGGATGTCGTCTCAACCAAAAAGTTGATCACCCAGAAATGCCGAGACTCTCAGTTGTCGTTCTTTTGTAGCAGTAAGGTCAAGGATGAGGCAGTTTCATTGCCCGATACTGAGACCAACCAAGGTCTAGTCTGTTTAGTCTCGTTAGCGATGCGATGGGCACCAAAAAAGGCTGCGTGCCATGATGGTGGTAATTAACTATGATTCTATGATAATCTGATATTTGTCCAGGCAAAGCCCCAACGGGCTGTCAAAATGTCTGTCTATACCTGGCCCATCATGGCCCATCGTTGCGCGTGGTGAGGGAGGTGCGTCACATAGCTAGAGGCATCTTTGAATGGTGTGCTCGCCTCCTGTGGGTAGAAGTCCCTGATTTGCAACGACAAACTATCTGATCATCGCGCAGTATCATGCAATTTCGCAAGATTCGAGGTTTTTCAGTACAAAATCCAACAGTTCATACAATGTGGGGCCCCCTAGTTATAAGTTGGCTTATAACCCCATCTAACTATGGTTATAACTACCATAAACCCTAGTTATTGTAGTTATGTTCACCAACTTAGCTATCTTGGCCCAACAGTTCATATTTCCAAGCCAGCGGCCAGTAACCTGATTTTTTTTTAAATGGCCCATTTATAGATGGTTTACCTGGGTTTACCTATTAAAAATAGTTATTTTCTATAGCTATGTTGAATTACCAGAGGGTAGCTATTGAAAATGACCATAGAAATGGTGGATTTACCCATTGAAAATGTGGTGATGTTCCATAGTTTCTTGTATGTTTACCAGAGGGTACCACTCTAATAAAGCGCGTCATCAACTGGTTTCATCTGTTTTCTATTTCGGGGCCCCAGCTCAAAACGGCAGGGCGAACCAGCCCCAAAAATGGGATGACCCCTGAGATGAAGCATGGAACTTTCTGTGGAGTTCCACATGGGACCAGAAATGTGGCAAAGCTGTGTTACTTTTCCTGGAAGAAACCTATGATGTTCCGGATTCTCACAGATAAAGTAAAACATGGTTGCTTTATCGTTGTTTGCGTTCTTGTTGTTGATGCATCACTATTGGTTCAACGTGATAAACCCAATTGTAAACCATCCCTAATATCACTATAACTGTGTGGTAACTATCCATCCCCAAATTGATGGTTTGTTTTTGGGTTGCCGACAATACAGTATATGGAGGTTTCCTGAAATAGGGGTACCCCCAAATCATCCATTTTAAAAGGATTTTCCAGACCATCCATTTTGGGGTACCCCCATTTTGGGAAACATCCATATATCAAGTGAAGTAAGTTCATATCCCATCTTTCAACTCACCCCCCACCTCCTCACTACAATAGTAGTCGCCATCTTGTGCGCACATGAAGTGTTGTTGGTTGCGGAACATCTGCGGCAACCACTCCTGCAAAATTTTTAAAAAATGGCAGAGCGTGCCCAATTTCGGAAGGGATGGAGAAGTCAATCAAGAACATCCAGGCAATATTTCGTAGCTCCCAATCAGATAGAAAAGTAATCCACCATTTTCATATAGCAATAATAAACCACCCATATTTTGATGGTTTATACCCCCATGATCCCCCATTACCATGCTTTGAGTAGGATTTTAGTTTTCAGTCTTTTTGAAGTCTTGGAAGTTCTACAGTAGCATGAAAATATCTGAACCTACCGTCCTTGATAAGTCCTGTGACAACATCATCAAATTTGCTCGGGCTGCCTAGCCCCCATACAGCAACCACCAAGATGTAATTCTTGAATCCCACAGCATGGGCTAGGACCCTTAAAACATTGCGGTGAATAGAAACCAAAGACTGTATTCAAAAAATAGGTTGGAGGACATCCCAACATGTTGTGATCTGCTCATTTTGGTATCGGTATCTTCACCACCGTCATGTCGAACAGCTAATCACCAAACAGTCTGGACAATTTACCATCTGGTTATTTAACGTAGCTTCGGAGAATTCGCTAAAAATTGTGATTTTTATTGGAAATTCATCTATAAACATTGTCAATGTTTGATAGTCCGCAAAAAATAAAAACTGTTTGCTGGTGATTTTCCGTTGCAAAAAAGGGTCACGGATTAGTTTTCCATCCAAGGTTGGGCATGTGTGTAGGTATAGTCGGTATAGTCAATCCCAAATCTGCTATCTTTGGCCATTACCCTCTGGTAAATTAACATAGACCCTGGCAGTTGTCGGGGTTGGAAGACTAGTTTCCATGAAAAACATTGGCTATTTTCAGGGTCCAACTGTTAATTTACCAGAGGGTAAACCCCACCATTCTTCATTTAAATCCCATTTACCAGAAGGTAAATCTCATTTTCCCAGATTGAAATCCCAAACCCCATTTAAATCCCACCATTCTTCTGTTAATTTACCAGAGGGTCAAACCTGACCCTTTTCCCGTTGACAAACCAACATGGTGGTGGCTCGGCCCGTCTCGGCACCGAGATTCATCTCGGTGCCGATGTTCTGGGAGGGGTGTCTCGTTGTTTTCGGAGGCACCATGCATAAAAAAGGGGATACCCGCTGGATGGTGATTTTTCAGGGAAAATCCATCTACCCTCTGGTAAACTGTTACATAGCTATGGAAAATCACCATTTTTCGTGGGAAAATCTACTATTAATGGCCATTTTCAATAGCTAGGTTAAATTACCAGAGGGTATTTCAATGGATGATTTTGACCCCCAGGACTTGGGAAACTTCCATACTGTCTGTGGATAAAAAATCAGATCCCCAAGCTGAACACTTCGGCCTCTCGGTCAGATGATTCCCCCAATACCATCAGTGTCATCCGTGACGTCCCGACGTGAGGTCTTTGTAACGCATCCAGATCTCTCCCTTTTTGCTGGTCAACTATCTCCTTTGTATAATCAATGGCCATTCCAGGAACCTAAATTGGAGGTACCTACCATATATAAGGCCTATTTTTCAGGCCTATGTAAGGGAATATTGCCCCAAAATATGGCCAGAAATATGGTACTAACGTACCTCCATTTTAGGATCCTGAAATTCCCATTGATATAATACCCTCTGGTAATAACCAACACTTTGCGAACTGGAAAATCATGGTTAAAATCACCAAATGTTTTTCCAGGGCAATGATCGAACTACTCCTATCCCCCTAATATCCAACACCCCCCTTAGAAACCATGGGAAAAAAATGCAAGTTCCACATGATTGGGACCATTTGGGGGGTGTTTAATATTAGGGGGAGGGGATAAACATGGATTTAACTGGGCCACAAGAAAACCTGGCAGTAACCGAAATTTCTACAGGCTGTCCTGCAGAGCGGCCTGGCACTTGTCGTATTCCAGGTGGCTACTGAGCGCGGTACAGAGAGTGCCCGCATAGCAAACGCCGTACTCCTGGAAAATGTTCGGACTCGATGTTAAGGGGATTTCACCAAGAAGAAACAAAGAAATCATGGGGGTTGAAGACATTTTTCTGGGATTCAAATGGAGATTTTCGTGGGAACAGGGATTGAACAACAAACCAGGGGCATTCAAATTGGAATATCATGGGGTTTTTAAAGGATTTTAAGGGGATGTTGTCCGGGATGAAATGACATAGTGACATACTTGTCTAATCCGCACTACAGTGGTAAATTAACCATTAACCAAATGGGGATCGTCTAATCGCAATTATCCGAATGTTAAGATGGGAATGTTCAGATGTGGATAACACATGTTAACAATTTCTTGGGGATATCTAGCCATAGAGATCTACTGGGATTTTTTTTTGAGACCAACAAACCATGGATTTTCTTGACCAACTGTAGGTTTTGCAAACGGGAATATATAATGGGATGAATAATGATGAATAGATCAGTAAAATGGGTGCTGATCTAGGTGGAGTTCACTAGATGAATGTATTTCACCATTCTATAGACCATAGCAGCCCCATATCCCCGCTTGAACTGGGCTGTGATCCCATGGTTTCAGTTAAATCATCGCCCCAGCTACACCCAAAATGATCATCAGCAAACCCCCTGACAGAACATGGCCAGCAAAATGTCCTAGCGTAAATAGGCATCTAGGGAAAAATCGCAGAACTATGCAGAACTGGGAAATTTGACAAACTCTGCAGTTTCGAAGTTTTGGGGTCCTAAATTTCGATCCATGCTTAATCCATGCTCATTTACAACAACCCCAACACTCTCCAGGCATGCTCTCGCTGCAGGGGTGATACTCCGCGTCTAGAGCACCAAAAATGGATTCCGATGATCTTGTTGAATCACATGCAGCGATACTCTGAGTTTTGATCAGGATTTCCCTGCTCTTGCATTACCACCCATGTGAGTATGGGTGAAGTCATTTGTTCCCCTTAAAACCTTAAAATTGGACGATGATGGAAGTGGTTCGTTCAAAAAAATTGAACAAAAACCAAACCTGTCCTGATTTCACGGGAGGTAACATGGATGTGCATTCCAGCAAGCAACTGGTTCATGACCATGGTACCCACACTTCTTAGCATCACCCAATTGCTGGGTCTGAGGATCAGCATGGCTGCTATCCACTCATCTCCAATTGCTGGGCAAAAATGCTACGTTGAATCCTAGTTTTGCTGCTTCAACTCGCAATTTGCTGTGTAAGGACTGCACTTCCTACTCAACTACCCTGTAAAGTAACATCGCCATGGAAAATGCCCATATAGTTCGATGATTTACCTCTTACAAATGGTCAATCAGAAATCCATCATTTACTTCGATGCTTTTGCAAACTGAACCTCCGTTGATAATGGATTTTCCCATGAATTTCCCATTAAAACCATTGAGAAACTTCAGTTTTCCCACGTTTTTTCCCGCCCTCCGCGTCCTTATCGAAGGCGGCCAAGCCTGCAATGCAGTCGGGCTGCCCACAGAACTCGTCCAGGCCCTGGTGGGTCTTCTGTTGCACCGACGCAATGGCCTTGTCCTTTTTGTACCGCTCCGGTGGAACGGGGTGGAACGGCTGTTTGAAACGCTAATTTTCATCGCATGGCTGGTTGGTGGTTTGAACCCTACCCCTCTGAAAAATGATGGAGTTCGTCGGTTGGGGTTATTGTTCCCAATATATGGAAAAATAAGAAATGTTCCAAACCACCAACCAGATGGGTTTGTCTGAAAATCTAAAGTAGAAACCTAAATTCATTGGTGAATCGTCATTTTCCCTCTTTCTAAAGCACCATTTGGGTGGTATACACCATTTTCAGAAAGATCCAAATCATCCATAAAGTGGGAGTTGATCGCTTTTTTCCTGGAATGCAAAACAAAGCATAGTGGGAAAGTAATCCCTGGTCCATAAGTTGTGTTTTCTGTCGGCGACTGCTGCTTTTTTCAAGAAATTGATGTGGATGCCACGGGGGAACCCCTAAACTCTTGCAAAGAGGCAGATAAATCATGATTTGGGCCAAGCCTCAATAGGAAAAACTCGTAAGTACATAACTAGAAAAACATATAGGGAAAAAAACATGTTTACCTGTGGGACAATCATCTATCAATGGGACCTGTGAAACTGCTGGAAAATCCAGCTAAATGGATAACTCGGACTCTGCCAGGATGTCGCTTCAATGATGTTTCCCCCCCTGGTGGTCTCCAGGTGTCCATTTGGGTGTGTCTGAAAATAGTGTACCCCTAAACCCAATGGTTAATGATCATTATCCCTATTAAATGGCTATAATTGGGAATATACCCTATTTTCAGACAAACCCATTTTTTTCGATCCATTGCTGTCCTTTGCAGAGCGGATCAAGGAAGAGTGCATCAGCTCCTGCATCGGCGAGGCGAGGCCCAACTGGAACAGGGAAAGTGGGACTTCAACTACCGAAAACCAGAAATCTGACCAAAAGGCAACTTTCTGCAATCATAAACCTGGGATTCGCCCATCAGTGGTGATTTAAGCGTGCAAAACATTCGACTCAACCAACAAAAACATTGCCGGAAGGGCTCCATAGGACCAAATGGCCCTGGACATTGCTGTAGAGTGTGGCCTACTGGGTTTGAAAGCGCAGGTTTCAAGAGGTCGAAGTATGATTTTCTGCTCCATCCTCCCGCCATGCAGGCTACCCGAGAGTCATGTTCTGCACAGAAAAAGGGACCCCAACCTATCTGAAATCCTTCCTTCAAAGTCCGGTTTAGATTTCTTCATTTTGGGCTCCCATATCTTGGGGTAGTCTATCATCGATCTACTCCACCCCGGCCTGCACCAAAGGCTTATGCACGGTCTCCAAGAACTCCAGCAACCCCCAGGCGGCGAAAGACGCCAGCGCCTCTGGGTCAAAGACTTTGCCGCACTTGCCCTGCAACTCTCCTGGAGGTGACCGTCCCACCCCAGTGTGACTCATGGATTCGCCACGGGGTGTGGATTCTACCAGGCTTGATGAAATGGTTTGTTGTTTTCACTGGGCTAAACAACGACCAAGTCATCAAACATGGATCCCCAGAGGGGATCCCCTCATGGGATAGCATTGATGTGGCTGGTTTGCCATCTCCGCGGATCACTTTTTTGATCACATACCCCATACCCCCCGAACGATCCATCCCGCAATGTATTGGATCGATCCATGACTCGGGGTCCGAGTTAAAAATTGGCATCCCATTGCATCTCCATCTCTATGGGTATGAGTCAAAACCTTGGTACCCTAGTGAACCCCAAATAACTGGTAAATGGATGTTCATCCCCCCAAATATAGCAAGATTGGTTTTGATACATCCCCATATAACAATGGTTTAAACCCCAATTTAATCATGGTGGACCTCCTACAGTACTGTGATGGAATTTTTAGGGGAACCCGCCTGCCATCCGCGCAGCATCCATGCAGTGCCCTGTGGTATCCATCACCTCCTTTCCTCAGGCTCACGTGATATGTCTATATATTTCCTATACAAAGCCATGAAAGAATACTTGGCATGGCTTAAAACATATCAAAACCTCGTAAAACGGGGTGATGAATGGTCACCTTGCAGGGGCAACCCTATCTACATAAATATGGGTGTGTCATGGTGTGTCTGAACATCAGGGATACCCTATCTACATAAATTGATGGGAAAATTGCTCATCAACCACTCAATTTCAGGGGAACTTTGGGGATATTTTCAGACTTACCCTCTGGTAAACTAACATAGCTATTGAAAATGACCAGTTATAGTGGATTTTCCCATTGAAAATGGTGATTTTCCATAGTTATGTTAGTTTACCAGAGGGTATGTCCTATGTGTATGCTGAGAATCGGCCCTTCACTTGAGGAAAAAAATGCTCATTGGATACCCTGAGGCCCTACATAGGACCTGGTGTCACAAGATCTCCCATTACAAGCTCCATGGTGATGGGGATGTCCAATTCCCATGTTTGATTACCGGAGGCTAATTTCAAGAAATGGTGATGGGTGAAGTTTGCGCATCAACAAAGGGCTGTTTCTTCTACAGGCTGCTTCATTGATGCCAGATCAAACTTCGGAGCCCAAAAAAATAGCAGAGCAAATCCCAAATGAAAAGAAACATAGCGCCGCGCAATTGATGACTTACTGGTGCTAAACGTAGGGAATGGATGGGAATGGGGGAATGGGATGATTATTGATAGTTATTGTGGATCATTCCCTCATTCCCTGCTAAGCACCAGTAAGATGATAGCAAAGTAAAATGAAAGTATTGGAAGAAAGCGGAGAACCGCATGAATCCTCATCACATTGCTAGCCTAACTCGAGCAGAACTGCCAACTTACCCAGCGCTGAATCATCTGAAAGCCTGAGATGTTCCCTTTTTTGACGCTTCAGAATGACGTCAAGAAAAGAACGCAACTCCCACCACCATCATCAGCTTGCCCCAATCCCACACCCGGCCGTTCCAAGCCCAGTGGCCATGTTGTTTGATCCACTCCAATGCTCCATCCAATGGATCAAAGGGCGCCGGCTGATCAAAGCGCTGCGCCGTTGCCAAGCCCAGGCCCAATGCTACGGCGCGCAGCATGCGGGACATATCGAAGGAACGGGGCCGATCTAAATTGGCGGATTTTTGTCCGAAAGGCGCCAGAGGGCACGAGACTCAAAAGCTTGGGCCCAGCGGAGATTCACGACAGGAGCCCGATTTTTTTAGTTGACGTATACCTTCTGGTAATTTTAACATGCGTATGGAAAAACACAATTTCAAATGGGTAAATTCTCGAACTCGATGGGCCACCTACATCATAGCTACGCAACAAATTGCCGGAAGCTGTACCCCATTTTCAGACCCAAAAAAAACCGTGTATCAAGCCTAGGCCACGCGTTTCAGGCCGTTATCCAGTTTCCTTGGTCCGCAGATGACAGCTGCGGGGGCGGTGCGTAGAAATTGGGTCTGGAAATAGGTGATTAACCACCTAACTGGCTATTTTAATATATTTTAATAAGGAAAATAGTGATTCACCAATGGTTTTAGTGGTACCCCATTTTCAGACAAACCCAATTCTATCTTTAAGCGGAAACGGAACAAACCTCCAGATCTACAGATTCCTGTAGACTTGGCTCAAGGGAAAAGATACGGGAAACTATACTGTACTTGGTGGGAAAACCATGGTTTCAACCGCAAATAACAGCAAAATGTTCCCTTCAATTTTGTCAACCAGTCCATTGAAAGTCACGATAAATTGATATTATGCAATTCCATGATTGGTGATATTAACTCCCACTTTCTCATGGTTTGATGGCAGATTCTATGCTGCGCCGTCCATGCTGAAAAACAAAATCTGATAGATCTATGAAAGTTCGTAATAGTACGCAGGTTCCAGACATTGTAATCATCCAAAATTATCCACAAATCATCCCCAAAATCATCCCCAAATCATCCCAAAATTATCCACAAATCATCCCAAAATCATCCCCAAATCATCCCAAAATCATCCCAAATCATCCCAAAATCATCCCAAAATTATCCACAAATCATCCCAAAATCATCCCCAAATCATCCCAAAATCATCCCAAATCATCCCAAAATCATCCCAAATGATCCACAAATCATCCCAAATTCATCCTCTGTCGCTCCAGTTCTCCATCTCTCCAAGTGGCTGCACGGTGATCTTGCCATCTTCCAAGGTCCAGGTTTCATTGCAGACCTTCTCCACGAAATCCATCTTGGGCTCGATCATCAGGATGCCTTGGCAGATTGGATTGCAAAGGGCTGGAAATCGCCTGGGAAAAGCGGGAAAAGCCAGGTGTGGAAATGCTGAAATGGTGGGGGAATCGGGGAAAGGCTGGGGAAAAGCTCAGGAAATGGTCGGAAAAAGCTGGGGAAAAGTTGGGGGAAGGCTGGGGAAAGGCTGAAATGGCCGAGAAATGCTGCGTAAATGCTGGGGAAAAACTGGGGAAATGGTGGAAAACATGCTGAAAGGTCACCAAGAAGACATTTAGACATAAAGAACTTGTAGTAGTTTAAACAGAAGCACCAGGAATGGTGGTGGGTTAGTCGTTGATGTCCTTTCAGCACACATGGGTTGAATAGAACAAAATGGGAATGTGCCCAAAAACGGGACCCAAAGGCCTTTGTGGCTCCTATATAATGGTAATTTTGAATGTAACCAAAAAGAATTTGAAATGGAAAAACATCGTTGGGTGTGTGTCCAAAACGGGGCTTGGGTACTAATTGATTCCCAAGGCTGGGTAAAGCAAAACATTTGGGCAGCTGCCATTGCAAGAGAAGTAGAATGCTAAGACCGGGGTGAAAAAGTGGGAATGGATCGGGATATGTCAGTGATGTAATTGATGACAATTCCCAGACAAGATTTAAGGCCATCTTGGACAATATCCCTAATACCTAGGCATGGTGTTTGATGATATCGTTTCAAGGTTGCTCCAAATGATGCATGTAGATGTCCGATTCAGACTTTAGACACCGTCGGCGTTTCAGTAGAGAACTTGGTGAAGCGGAGCGCTTTCAAAATGCCACATGTAAACCGGCATTATCTTGCAGAAAGATTTGATGCGAGTGGTTAGTGCTTCAAATGGAGCCACAAATGATGGAGAATAAGATAATATATATATATTATACATATAATATATACATATATATATATGCATATAATATATACATATATATATATGCATATTTATAATTATGGGTGACCATTTACATGCCTTTGTTCCATCCAAAATGTTGATGCGTAATGTTTTGCTGCTGCGCAAGACAACGATTCTGATATCTCCTGGTATTTGAGCACGGTTGCAGGTGAAATTCAACCTACCAAACAGCCAACTAGGGTTCTGGAAAACAGGGCGAAATGACCGACATGTTACCTGGAATACGGCCCACCAGTGCAGCGACCCACAACAATGAGGGGCTCTAGCTACCAAATAATCTTGATGGGCGTTCCACTCTGGCTGTTGATGGGCGTCTACCCAATTGGAATTGTAGCACCTGCATTCATGGCATTTTTACCCTATCGGTTAAGCCCCATCATACTGGGGCCCCATGCCCACATGGTTGAATACTAAAAATGACCCATTTGTTTGACTCCGTTGGGGGCTCCAAATTTTGAGCCATACCGGCCATAGCCCTCAATCTAACATAGCTGCCTCAGTTCGATGATTTTCCCCATGGAAAACAATGGTGATTTGCCTGCCCCATCCACCATGACTTCCCAAGAGACCACCCCGGAAGTTGTTCAGCGCCTGATTAGGGGCTTAAAACACAACGAAACTTGTGGATCAGGACATCAAAACAAGATCAACCAATGATGCTGGGAACTTGTTTCAACATGTTGAAAAACATTGAAAAACACTATATACATCCAAATGAATATGTCTGAAAACAGGGAAAAAAAAACACCTCCCAAATGGATCCAAATGGCTATTCTAACTGTGAAAATGATGATCAACCCATGGATGTGATGCTTTTTCTCCACGTGCCGCACCTTGGACAGAGCCTCAACCGTCTCCACATCCAAGTAGTTGGTGGGTTCGTCCACTGCGATGAAATGAGGCTTGGTCCAGAACCTGCAGCACTGGCAATTGTTTTTATGTTTTTTCCCATCAAAAACATGGCAAAGGTCTGAGACAATTACAGAATTACTGGCAAAAAAATACTGGCATAATTACTGTATACATGCATGCAATGATAAGCTTTTGTAGGCATGCATTTCTTGCTGGCCGCTATCTGGGGATCAAAATCTATTCGAGTGCAGGTCAAGCCACAAGAGTCGCACCCAGATGCTCTTGACATACCCGAAATACCCAAGATGCCAGGAATAGAAATGCTGGGATGTTTCCACTACACTCTGCTTTCAATATCTGATGGCCACTCTTGTGATTTGCGGCGGATAGATTCGTTCAATCCAACCGACAAATCTACTCCCAACCACAGGCTTCGCACTGGCGAGTAACATGGCGGCCAAAGACAATCTCACCTGGTGAGCTATGCCAGCTACCCTCTGGTAAACTAACATAGCTATGGAAAACCACCATTTTTAATGGGTAAATCCACTATAAATGGCAATTTTCAATAGCTACGTTAAATTACCAGAGGGTATGCGATCATCGGGACTGAATGGGGATATGATCAGCACCAGCTGTGCGGCAAGAAGTTCTTGGCCATATGACCAACGAAAAAAGGAAAAGTGTCCAAGACAATCAAATGCTACCAGCAATACCCTCTGGTAATTTGACGTAGCTATTGAAAATGGCCATTTAAATAGTGAGTTTTCCCATTAAAAATTGTGATTTTCCATAGCTATGTTAAATTACCAGAGGGTAAGTTTACAAGATTTCTGGAGAATCCTTAAGGTGTCCAAGACATCACCTGACGAGTCCATCGTGATTTTCTTCCCCACCGTTTTGGCAGAAAATCCCACCTTTTTGGCGGGCAATTTTTAAACCCAAAAGAATGGATCACCAATTGGTTCAGAACGTGGTACCCTCTGGTAACATACAAAAAACTATGGAAAATCACCATTTTTAATGGGAAAACTCACTATAAATTGCCATTTTCAATAGCTATGTAACAAATGACCAGAGGGTAAATCCAAGTTCATAACATTTCATAACCATCCCCAATGACTTACCATGGGTGGAATTCAAACCATCCCCAACTGCTAGGGGAAAAAAGTTGCATTTGGTAAACACAACATGACCAAAGAAAGAGCTACCCACCTTCTGTCCGGCAGAGAAGCCGCGGATTTGCTGGTTGCAGCACATCTCCTGAAACGAAACTGGGAGAATCATCCAAGGTATAAAGATGATGGAAGATGGATAGAAAAGGATGAAATCCAATGCGGATCGTCATTCAAGGTAAAAATAAAGAACAAAAAATAGAACAACTACAGGCACCTGGATGCAAATTGAAGGCCTTCAAATCAATTGCAACGCATTTCCCTCTCTTTGGTGGCTTCCCTCAGCATTCTGAAGCCATCACCTTCCCTCCAACCTTTTCAGTCGATTACATTCATCACTCTTTGGTATCAAATGGCAGCAACTGTTCCGTTCACTTGACCCATACCGTTCTTTGATGCAAACCCTTCGTCCTATTGGTTCTTAACAACCCAAAACCTAAAGAATTGCTGGCACTATATGGCAATACAGGCATTTTATTGGAAACCTGATGCCACGAAACCAACAAATTAGATCAAATTAGTCATAGTGAATTCAATTCTATCCATATCGCCACTTTTAGTGATTGAATTGTGTAAATTTAGCCTAAAACCATCTGATTTTGGGCCGGTTTCCTCTATGAACTATCATCAACAGCGGCGCCTCATCAATACCAAAGGCCTCGCAATGCTTCACGATCTCTCCTTAGCGTCAAGCTTTGGGGTTTCAAACCACCCAAAAATAGGGGTTGAAACCACCAGGTGTGGGTTTCTCCAAACACTAGGAATACCCTTAAATGGAGATTGGAATAAGTTGTTTTCAAACAAACCCATACAGTAAGCCACAAAAAATATTTTTTGAACCACCAAAAACAGGGTTGGAACCATTGGGCGAGAGGTGTTACATCAGCAAAAATGGCGATGCGTCACCGACACCAGCAACGATGTAATTGTTGGGGAGATGCCTGTGAGGTAGTTCCGCTGGTCACATCCTGAATATGAAGAGCAGGGGCAATCTGTTGAATCTTTGGGACGAGTATATCCCATTGTATCCCATATCATATCCCATCATATCCCATTACATCCCCACAATTGCTGGAGTGATACCCATCTGGCTGACCTCCCCCTTTCACCAAACATAAGTTACCCTCCGCTAACCCAACGCGGCTTGCTCGAAACTCCACCATCTGGTTCTTGTTTTTTCCCAGCTATACACCTTCATTTACACCAAAATATTCAATTGCTTTCTTTGATGACACCGGATGACAAGTCCAAAATCAGCTTCGGTGGTATCCCCAACGGCCGCAACGTTTTGTTTTCACAAGTCTTTCTGAAGCGTGCTGCGAAGCCAAGCGCTGGAAACGCCTCAGCTGGGTTTCCTTGAGTTAAATGGCCGCAAATCCTGTTGAACCTGACCTGGCTCTGCGACATTTTGACTTCCAAATGTGTTTCGCGCCACAACGGCGTGCACTTCTTCAACATCTCAACTTCCAAAATGCTCCAAGAATGTTGTGTTTTGTACATTTTGACTTGGAAGTTTGACATCTCAGGACTCAGGTCCTAAAAGTGCTCCGAAGCTGAATTGCTTTGTAATTGTTTGCTTGGACCTGTGCTTCGCACCACAGCGACGTGCGCTTTTTCGACAGCCTGACTTCCAAAAGTGCTCCGACGTTGAAATGTTTTTAGCTTTTTCACCTTCCAAATGTGCTTCGCGCCACAACGGCGTTTGGACAGCAGGCCGATGCTCTTGTATGTCAGAATATGTCAGAGGTAGATATCAGTTAGTGCCTTGGATTTTCGTACTCCTTTCAACCCGGACATGCGATGGTTTCTACTTTTACTTTGTAGAAACCAATGCCCGGCTTGCCCACCTTGGGGTCCATCCAAGTGACAGGACCCCAGTGCTTACTTCCCTCAGGGAGAGCACTGCTCTCCTTTTTCAAAAAAAGCTTGCCGAGTTTCCAGCAACCCTTCGGGTGGAGCCTCACCATAAAGTTTTGATGCCCCAACCACGGGCTCTTCTTGTTATGGTGACCACCCGGCCAGCGACAAGCTGTTTCAGCTCCTGCATCAGGAGCCGCGGAGGTTATTTGGTACAAAACGCAATTGAGGGGGTGTTCCTACCTTGTTCTCCAGACAACAGTCCCGTCACGTTTTTTCTTGGGGTCTGACCTCGTTCTCCAATGCCGCACTTGTTTTTTAATCGCTAAATGCTTTATGTGCGATGCCTACCTCGTTCTCGGGGTGCTCCTACCCCATTTTACAACCTAACAATGATGTTTTCGACAAACCGGGGCACGCCGCAATACTATTCTCCGTTTAACCAAATAAAAGCCGTTGCTCAATAGCTTAGTCGGTTCAGGTTTCAAGCAGGCACTACACTCACTGGCGCACCTAGAAATTCACTCACTTACGCACCTGGGAAATGCACTCACTCGCGCACCTAGAAAATCACTTACTTACGCACCTGGGTCTCCATTTTATACGTAAATTACCAGGAAATTACGCTATCACGCATTGCAAACAAAGCGCCACGAAACCTTTAGGGATTTTAACTTGTTGCATTTTATACGTAAATTACCAGGAAATTACGCTATCACGCGTTGCAAACAAAGAGCCACGACACCTTTAGGGTTTATATCTTGCTGCATTTTTTACGTAAATTACCAGGAAATTAAGCTATCACGCGTTATAAACAAAGAGCCACGACACCTTTAGGGTTTATATCTTGTTGCATTTTATACGTAAATTACCAGGAAATTACGCTATCACACATTGCAAACAAAGAGCCACGACACCTTTAGGGTTTATATCTTGTTGCACTTGATGTACGAAGAGCCACGACACCTTTAGGGTTTATATCTTGTTGCACTTGATGTAAGAAGAGCCACGACACCTTTAGGGTTTATATCTTGTCTCACTTGATGTAAGAAGAGCCACGACACCTTTAGGGTTTATATCTTGTTGCACTTGATGTAAGAAGAGCCACGACACCTTTAGGGTTTATACCTTGTTGCACTTGATGTAAGAAGAGCCACGACACCTTTAGGGTTTATATGTTGTTGAACTTGGTGTAAGAAGAGCCACGACACCTTTAGGGTTTATAGCTTGTCGCACTTAATGTAAGGAGAGCCACGACACCTTTAGGGTTTGTATCTTGTTGCACTTGATGAAAGAAGAGCCACGACACCTTTAGGGTTTATATCTTGTTGCACTTGATGTAAGAAGAGCCACGACACCTTTAGGGTTTATATCTTGTTGCACTTAATGTAAGGAGAGCCACGACACCTTTAGGGTTTATAGCTTGTCGCACTTGATGTACGAAGAGCCACGACACCTTTGGGGATTATATCTTGTTGCACTTGATGTAAGAAGAGCCACGACACCTTTAGGGTTTATATCTTGTTGAAATTGATGTAAGAGGTGCAACGACACTTTAGGGTTTATATCTTGTTGCACTTGATGTAAGAAGAGCCACGACACCTTTAGGGTTTATATCTTGTTGCACTTGATGTAAGAAGAGCCACGACACCTTTAGGGTTTATATCTTGTTGCACTTAATGTAAGGAGAGCCACGACACCTTTAGGATTCATACCTTGTTGCATTTGATGTAAGAAGAGCCACGACACCTTTAGGGTTTATATGTTGTTGAACTTGATGTAAGAAGAGCCACGACACCTTTAGGGTTTATATGTTGTTGCACTTGATGTAAGAAGAGCTACGACACCTTCAAGGTTTATACCTTGTTGCACTTTTTGTAAGAAGAGCCACGACACCTTTAGGGTTTACATGTTGTTGAACTTGATGTAAGAAGAGCCGCGACACCTTTAGGGTTCATATCTTGTTGCACTTAATTTCAGAAGAGCCACGACACCTTTAGGGTTTGTATCTTGTTGCACTTGATGTAAGAAGAGCCACGACACCTTTAGGTTTTTACACCTTGTTGCACTTGATGTAAGAAGAGCCACGACACCTTTAGGGTTTTTATGTTGTTGAACTTGATGTAAGAAGAGCCACGTTGCACTTGATGTACGAAGAGACACCTTTAGGGTTTATATCTTGTTGCACTTGATGTAAGAAGAGCCACGACACCTTTAGGGTTTATATCTTGTTGCACTTGATGTACGAAGAGCCACGACACCTTTGGGGTTTATATCTTGTTGCACTTGATGTAAGAAGAGCCACGACACCTTTAGGGTTTATATCTTGTTGCACTTGATGTAAGAAGAGCCACGACACCTTTAGGGTTTATATCTTGTTGCACTTAATGTAAGGAGAGCCACGACACCTTTAGGGTTTATAGCTTGTCGCACTTGATGTACGAAGAGCCACGACACCTTTGGGGATTATATCTTGTTGCACTTGATGTAAGAAGAGCCACGACACCTTTAGGGTTTATATCTTGTTGAAATTGATGTAAGAGGAGCAACGACACTTTAGGGTTTATATCTTGTTGCACTTGATGTAAGGAGAGCCACGACACCTTTAGGGTTTATATCTTGTTGCACTTGATGTAAGAAGAGCCACGACACCTTTAGGGTTTATATCTTGCTGCACTTGATGTAAGAAGAGCCACGACACCTTTAGGGTTCATACCTTGTTGCACTTGATGTAAGAAGAGCCACGACACCTTTAGGGTTTATATCTTGTTGCACTTTATGTAAGATGAGCCGCGACACCTTTAGGGTTTATATCTTGTTGCACTTAATGTAAGGAGAGCCACGACACCTTTAGGGTTTATATCTTGTTGCACTTGATGTACGAAGAGCCACGACACCTTTGGGGTTTATATCTTGTTGCACTTGATGTAAGAAGAGCCACGACACCTTTAGGGTTTATATGTTGTTGAACTTGATGTAAGAAGAGCCACGACACCTTTAGGGTTTATAGCTTGTCGCACCTCGATGTAAGGAGAGCCACGACACCTTTAGGGTTTATATTTTGTTGCACTTGATGTAAGAAGAGCCACGACACCTTTAGGGTTCATACCTTGTTGCACATGATGTAAGAAGAGCCACGACACCTTTAGGGTCTATATCTTATTGCACTTGATGTAAGAAGAGCCACGACACCTTTAGGGTTTATATCTGGTTGCACTTGATGTAAGAAGAGCCACGACACCTTTAGGGTTTATATGTTGTTGAACTTGATGTAAGAAGAGCCGCGACACCTTTAGGGTTTATATCTTGTTGCACTTAATGTAAGGAGAGCCACGACACCTTTAGGGTTTGTATCTTGTTGCACTTGATGTAAGGAGAGCCACGACACCTTTAGGGTTTATACCTTGTTGCACTTGATGTAGGAAGAGCCACGACACCTTTAGGGTTTCTATCTTGTTGCACTTGCAAGTAGAGGTAGAAGTGGAAGATTCTCAGGTGCATAAGCGAGAGGATTTTCAGGTGCACAAGCGAGACGATTCTCAGGTGCACAAGCGAGTACCATGCCTTTCAAGCACAAGCTGTTGTTGCCAAATAAAATGGATGACTTCATCTGTCCACCCACCATCTGTCCGCGCGGGTCTCGGCAGGGATGATCATCTCCACCGTGTCTTGCTCCTCCTGCCCGATATTAAGGTGACAGAAATTCTTGTGTGGTTGACCAGCAATATCAGCTTCCTTTGTCACTGCACAGTCCGAGGCTCCTGTGGTGGAGGAGGAGCTGGTGACACGGGTGCAGGCGAGGATGATCCTCTAACATATCGACTGGACACCTCTCCTGCCTCGCCGGGGTTTGATTTTTTTTTGAGATTTTGGGACTCCTGATCTTTCTTGATTCTATCAGAATCATATCGTCATGTATTCCCCCATTCCTTATATTCATGTCACTTCCTGCCTCTTAACGGTGCCTGCCTTCCCGCTCGCCACGCAGAGTGCAAAGAGCATGCGGGAGAAGTGGCCAAGGTTCTGCCGACACAGTGGAAAGTCCCTATCCGACTGTGCACACGGCAAACAGTATTACTTACTACACGCAATGGACATTGGCAAAGCGGGCGGTGCCATGTGAAGGTTCGTACTTCCTTGCTATGTGTAAGAATAGGGTATCGGTAGGCAGGTAAAGGTTTCCAAAATGTTCCATGCAAATTTGATCACCCCAAGTCCATACGCTACATCCGTCCTGAGCATGTGGGTGGTTCCATGCTTCCTTGTGCCGCTCAAAACAACCACCGGCAGAAGTGTCAAACCTACGATATCCCAGTAGTGAACCATCAGCACCCCTCTTGCTGGTGGACCCTTTGGTGAATTCCAAAAAGGCAAATTTCTTTACACATATCCAAATAAGAAATTGCCCGTTTTGGGGAACCCTCATATTGTGGGATTTTCACCAGCTCCAAAAAAGGTCTTGGGAAAATGTTGATGACAATGATTTCCTGAGTCAGAACCCTCGGACTGAACTGTTAGAACCCCTTTTGTGGGAGGACCCCTTAGTGAGCCCCACAAAAGCTATTCTTTATGCAGATCGTAGTAACGGAGTGACCAGTTCGGGGGACCTTTCCATTTTGGGATTTATCGTCAGCTTGAACATTCTCAAAACATGGTGTTTCATCCTATTTCTATCGTTGTGTATGTTACTTGGGGGCCGTTCTGACCCACCCAGCACGGCAATGGTTTAAAGGTTTTGCTGTTTGGGCATCTCATCCGGGGTGAGCACGCATCCATGCCACCACGCGCTGATACTCACAGAGCAAATAACTGACTCCGTCTGGTCGGAGCAACAAATTCTTCAGTTCCTCTTTGCATTGCTTGATCTGCCGTGTATCTCCACGACGCACTGTCAAATCCGGATGCGACAGCAACAGATGCTGGAGCTCCCTAGTATGCTTTAAAAAAACTGGTGTGTTTTAAAAAAACTGGTGTGTTTCCAAAGAATTGCTTGCGTGGAAGAGGCCCACAGGCCCACAGGAAACTTGTACAACCAGTTAAGGCCACGGCGGCTCCCAGGCCCCGCCAACAAGTGTCTAAATGCTTGGGGTAAGTATGGTGGACAACCGCGAGGGCCAACCAAAATTGAACAGACAGATAAAGTCCAATCCCCGGGATCCGTTGAAGGTCGGAAAAATGTCAGATTTGGGTCTCCACTGTGCCCCATCCTTCCATGATATGTTCTTGAAGTTGTTGTTGGCTAAAAGGGAGGTCCGGGCTTGAGTGCGGCCCAACTGGCGAAAAATATTTCCCTGTAACCTGACTGGCATATTACCATGCACAAACCTATCAGAGACATGACGTCTGTCTTGCCGGGTCACAGCTTTAAAAATGTTTGCCAATGACCATGACTCCAGGTTGCGGATCACATCGGCCGCTTCCAGCAATGTTACCAGAAAATCTGGCGCGGCAAAATAAGTCGAAAAAAAAGAATTGCCCAGGCCAGCTCCGGCAAGGAGTCTATGGCCCTGAATGTGACCTGGATCCGCCTCGACCTGCTCCAGACATCAAAATAAACTTCGCTCAGCGCCTTTTCAATGGAAATATTGCTCTCGGGGCCGGTCCGCGAAGTCAATAACAACCCGCTTGTTCTTCAAAGTGCGGGGAATCGGGATCTCTTTGTCCCTCAGCATTGCATATAAGCACATGTCAAAAAAGGATCTCAAGTGATCCGTTCTTTACCCAGCCAACTGCGCGCAGTCCATGTCCCATCCCACGCTTGTTGAACCTGACCTGGCTCTGCACCAAAGCCTCCCGGAACCTTGTCCGGAACCCTGTTGAACCTGACTTGGCTTTGCACCAAGGCTTCCTGGAACCTGCTCCGGTACCTTTTCCGGAAGCCGGTTGAACTTGACCTGGCTGTGCACCAAAGCCTCCCCGACCTTCTCCGGAACCTTCTCCGGAACCCTGTTCAACCTGACTTGGCTTTGCACCAAGGCTTCCTGCTTCCTGGAACCTTCTCCAGAACCTTTTTCCGGAACCCTGTTGAATTTGACCTGGCTGTGCACCAAAGCCTCCCAGACCTTCTCCGTAACCTTCCGGAACCTTCTCCGGAACCTCGTTGAACCTGACCCGGCGCCTGCACCAGTGCACACCGGAGCTATTCTGGGCTGAAGACCTTATTAGCTTACGCTGTTGGGGAAGAAAACACTATACCACCATTCTTCATGGTATCACCAGGTGATCCTCATATCTACCAGATATTTCCCAATAAAACCTCCATAGTATCACCAATCAATATCACTGCCAACATCTATTATGT